CAAGTTCTTCTGTCCCCTGGGAAAAAGTACTTACCCATCTTGTTTAGCCATTTATTAACTGTGATTAAACTACAATATTTAGAAAGCTGAGCTCAATTTTACAAACCAAACCCTAATCTGATTATAATGTAACTTACAGAATTAATATACCATTTAAATAGAATGTATATGATGGCTGAAAGATTTCAAAAAGCAGTACATCTAAAAGTATAAAGTAATTTCTAAGACTTTGGAACTCCAGTGAACCAAAGTAACAGCCCAAATCCACAACTGAATAAAACATGGAGCTTTGGTAACCTTCCCAGCTGAGGGCAGTCAACCCAAAAAAATTTTTTATAGTTATTCTTTGTCATTAAAAACAAAACAATTATATGCAATAGAGAACATATACAAATCAATAAAATGAAAGGCATCAGAAAGAATAAACAATTTTTGTCATATTTGCACCTCTTAAATAGGGATTTACAAAAATAAACTAATCAAACACATAAACTCAGAAAACATTCTGTATGGATTCATATTATTCTATTTCATATTTTTTTAAAAAGCAAACAGACACAAACAAACAAACAAACAAAAAAAGCAACTTTTACCATTCTCTTAAATCTGTACATTGATCTGGTATCTGGTATTTTTGATGTCACTTTCCAGACCATTTTTACTCCCTGGATTGAAATAGACCACTCGTTCAAACTGCTATGAAACAAACATCTATCCCCTCAACATAAAAGCAACATTCTCTCTTAAAAAATTGACTTGGATGTTAGAAGGTAATACGTTTTTTTGAGCTTTATACATAAACAGTGCAATGTTAAAGTCAACCAAATCATAAGTTACCCGAAGAGCACAGCAATGACTCAACCAGGAAGTTACACAACAATCTATTCTAGACCAACATCTTAAATTCAATGTTTAAGGTTCAATATTAAGAAAATCAATTCCACAGGAAAGGTTGATGGTTGAAATCATTGCTGACCAAAAAGAATACAAAGATATGACTGACATTTATCAAAAAACTTCTTAATGATCTCCAAGACTTTTGGGGAGATATTCTGGAACTAATGGATCAAAATGGACCATAGACTTAGATTTATGTTATTGCCATTGCACATAGAACCATAAGTAAAATTGGCAATGAAATGTCATTACTTGACCACTGGAGCACATACAGAAACACAAGTGTGCCTGTAATGAAATAATAAACAAATAATAATGTATTGCTAAAAATATATAACTTAGCATTTTCAAGGAGTATCAGATGGTTTTAGTGATGGGACTATTGAGCAGTCTGATGGTCAGTGGGAGACAGCTATTTCTGAGTCTGGCTGTTCTGCAGTGGATGCTGTGGAATCTCCTGCCAGATGCCGACCAGATGAACAGACCATGCAGAGGATGGATGGAGTCAGAGAGGATCTGGTTTGCCCTGGCTAAGCAGCATCTATGTGCAATGGTATAGAAAGGGAGGAGTGGAGTCTCAATGATCTTCTCCGCTGTCTTCACCACTCTTTGAAGAGACTTCCATTCTGAGACCTTTCAGGTCCCGGACTAGATGGTTGGGTGCAACACACATTCATCTGTAGACCTTTACAGTATTTCAATAACTAGGTGTTGGCTAGCAAATGCTGTTGACTTGACAACCTGAGAGGATGCTGATTGACTTTATGAACTAATCAACAAGTGCTGATGAACTAGCACTGTATGTATGTCACTGAATATGAATTGCCAGTTCTGTATGATTTCGGTTGATTTAATATTTTCAAATACTTGGATATGAATTTGACCAGTTTTTCTAAAGAGCCTTGAGAGAACATGTGTTGAATTTTTGCCTAGTCCAGTGGTCCTCAGGCCCCATGTCATAAATGTTTGAGGTATCTCTGTTCCATAACTTAGATCAGCAGCATTCATAACTTCTCTGCATAACTTCTATTGCTGATGAAGCCTGTTAATCACCCTGTTACTGGTTTCCTGACTCAATGCTATCTCCTGTGTTTCTTTGGATAGAAACTTCTAAAGCTTTCTTGAAAGATTAATTGAGTTTACTGTTTGATTACTAAGATCAATTATAATGCTTTATAAAATGGAAATAATGTTTTGTAAAGTGCCTTGAGACATTTGTTGTGAATTATATAATGGTATATAGATAGATATAATTTGAACTCAGTTTTTGCTTCATGTGAAGCAGCTGAAGGACACCAGAGTTCAAAAAGACAGTTTGAACTTTGTGTGCTGTGACATTAGTTTGTTGCATTGTAGAAAGAACTGAGCCAAACAACAAGGCTCTTGATTTATCAGATTCTATTCCTCTCATTATGTCTTGCCATGACCTATGGGTCATTACTGGGAGAACAAGATCCTTGACTCAAGCCACTGAAAGAAGCCAAGTTTTGAACTAGGTAAAGGACATATTTTTTCTGGTCTGGGAACATTTTGGGATTTCTTGGAGTGAGCTGGAGTGTGTTGCTAGGGAGAGGAATTATTAGGTTTTTATTCTATACCTGCTGCCTCTGCATTCCAGTCTTAGATAAGTGGAAGTCAGTAATTGGATACAAAAGCTTCACTGTTCATCTTAGATAAATTAAATTAATGTACGAGGACAAATAAAATGTGGTTGTCAAGTCAAAATTTTTCAGTTAACTGAAATTGCAAATTTCTCCTTGGTACACTCTTTACTTGTAAAGAAATCTCATAAAAAGAATTCCAGACCATAAAAGTTTACCATTGGCAGTCCAGGATGTCCCAAACATCAGAAAATGCTGCAGACACAGACAGCAACACATAGGCTATTTGCCAAGTGAAACATCATAGTCTACAAAAATCAAACATATGACTCTGGATTCTCTTTCTTCGCTCTATGATTCTTCTTCTCTCTCACACACACACTTTTTCTCCTTCGGTTTCAGTTTTTTTTTTTTTTTTTGACATGAAAGCCCGCCCTACTCTCCTTCAGCAGCTCATTGGTTGCTTGCAGCTCAAAGCAGAGCTGTTTCACAGCTGGATCTGGAAAAACTGACCACAAGCACATGTAACAATCCAAGCTGCATATGTATGGGACTGTGTTTTGTTGCTAGTTTGGTAAATGTGACAGGAGGCTGAGGGAGACTAAGATTTGTTCATCTGGACATTCAGAATGGCTTTGATGATGATGGTGATGAAGACACGGCTGCTGTTGATAGACCAGGGTTGGATGTTTGATCTCTGAATCATCTTATGGAAGAGGAGTTTGTTCTCTGTGGATTTACTCTTTTGCATGCACTACAGCCTCAGAGGTGATAACATGAAGAGAGTGAAACATGTTATAGGTAAAGTTCACACACTGTGGTTTCAGACACCTTTCGACTTTCTGTTATGTCTTGAAATAACACAGAGAATTGTAAAATAAGTGTAACCATGTTTCCTGTTCAAGGTACTAAAGCTTAGAGTTTGAGCCAATGTTGGAAGTTTTTCTTACAGTTTTGTTATGTTATGCCATATAAAAAATCATGCAAGAGCATTAAAGAAAAAGCAAACCTATCTGTCTGACATGTCTGCTTCCTTTTTTAAATATCCCACATGTTTTTCCCATTTAACATTCTGTTTTTATGGAAACCCTTACTGACTCTGATGTGGTGTTCAAGGCCCCCTTGTTCTTCTTGAGGCCAAGTCGACTTTTATAACCAAATGTCATTTGATTAGTCACAAAACAGGTCACTGCCACTGGGATGTGTGGAATTATTCTGAAATAATAAATTAGAAGCTCGTGCATATCTTTCTGTATCTACTACTTAGTGACTGGCAAATCTTAGGTTGCCAAGTATACAAAAAATTTCCAATAACTTTTTGCTGATATTATATCTAATACATGCTTATATTAGTATTCACATTGACCTCCTTTTCTTCATGGTTTCTCTCAAATTCATCCCTGAGTAACTATTGGCTTTCACAAAGTTTTCATTTACTCTGTCTCCTGGTGAGTTTCTAAACACAGACTTTCTGTTATGTCTTGAAATAGTCATCAATCTGCTCCTTCTCTTTCTGTTTTGCTGTTCCAACAAGAGGAACATTCTGTCTGTGAGGGCCTGGCTCCTGTTGCATAACAACTTATACCATTTGTTCCTACAAATTTCCTGGATACTCCACCTGACCAATCTTTGATTTTTTTTTCAATCTATAATCTCATACCTGCAACCCGTTAGCTCATCAGCCAAGGCATTTTGTATAGCATTCAACCTCCTTAGTAATTAAACCTTTCATCTTCAGTCACTACTTGTTGGTTGTCATTTCCTGTCACTTTCCCATGGCCTCCTTGTGCCGCCTTAGTTTCTTTCTCCAGAACTTATGGTTTTGTTGTAACTCCATTGATCTTTGTAAGTTTTTGTTGTCACATTTTTTCATTAAAATCTTCAAAATGATCCATGTTACCAGCTCCTAGCTCCATTTGGGTCTGTCTTTCAACACACACATCCTGATAAAGAATTGACCTGATTTCTGGTTTTCATCTGATTTGACCAAAAACACCAGAAGACTTTATTAAATTCAAGCTTTATTAAAGCTTAAATTGAATTATTTAAGCTTGGTTGGACAGACGTTATAAAAAGAACCTCTCATGATCTTTCCTACATCTGAGGTTATATGTTTAGACTGAGGTATTCATAATAGAGCATAATGAATAGCTTCATCTACCATAAAAGACATTTCCATTCAGCAAACTCATCTTATTGAATCAGACCAGAAGTGTTGACCTATTTTCTATGCTTTCCCAATACTAGATTTATTGTACACACAGTCTGAGATCTCTGTTTTCTGGGCTGATACTGGACTCTATATGTGGATTTAAAACAGACAGTGTGAAAAATGTTTTGTTGGCATAAGTAATAAGTGCTGTTTTTGATTTTTTTTTTTCAGTTTACTTGTTTGATAACTTGTCTTCAACCCTCCATACTGAACATGAACTATGACTAAATAAACTCATCCATGCAATAGTCATTGCTTAACATCAATGTGATCAGTGTCTTTTGTTTCAGATGAAATCATGCAACAGGAGATCAGGCCCCTGATGGCTGTGGACATCATAGAGCAGCTTCATCGGCAGTTCGCCTTACTTTCAGGTAGGCTCCTGGGTGGAGGACCCAAAATCTGGACCCTGATATCCATAAAGAGAGATACAAGATAATTTTTTTTGCCAATTTATTGTGAACCCTTGGTAAGAACCAAAGCTTTTTATTATTTAAAGTAGATGTGTAAGACTTCTTCTTTGACACAGGGTGAACACTTTAGTAGCTGCTAAATGGTGTAATTTTGTGAAGATTACTTACCATTCACATTCTGTGTCCCGACATCAAAGCCTTGCAGTTCAGAGCAGAGTTCTGAGATCCAATAGGAATACTTCTTACATAGCTTGTCTTTAGGCCCTGCCCAGGTTGTTCATGTGACAATCACAGGCAAAAGATTGAAAAGCGCAAGCAAAACTCTTTGAATTCATGTAAAACAAGGGAGCGTCTCAAAAAACTTTGAATCTCAAACTTATGTTTTTTTTGTTTGAATAATACTTTTTTTCTTTGACATGATTTTTTGTTTTGCTTGAATGCTACTTTTTTGTTTGCTTTTTTTCTTTTACTTGAATAATTGTGACACAAATTTAACTCCATAGATACAGTGCGCTAAATAATAAAACATAAATTAACAAAGCTTCGAGGCAGGTAAATATTCCTCAAGGAATTTTAATAATCGAGGTACTCGAATCATTCGAGGAACCATTTCAGCCCCAGTATGTATCTAGAAAGAATCAGAACAAGAAGTACCATAAAAATAAAATTAGAAGAATTTTAGTTGTTCAGGAAATCATAAACACAAAACACTGCCCCTACAATCGCTGCACTCCCAGGACACTAAAACAAATATCTTCATTAGATAAAAAGAAAACACAATCTCAGCTGTATTTTACAACACCAACTTTGTTGTAATTTGTAAAATCACGACATATTAAATTGTGTTCAATTGACCCTCCATGGGTTTGACACAAAGGTTAGACTTTATTGTCCATTAAACTTACATAAAATGGAAATTTATCTTTGGTAATGGCACAAAAACACACATCACAGTTGCCACAAAATTGTATTTATAATGAATAAACAAGATCTGTAAAATAAAACCAAGTCATATTACTCTACTCATGTCATTCAGTTAAATATTAAAAACCATTTAAAATTTACCATACTACTGCTAAGAGAGCACACAGAACTTCTACACTGAGTTACAATGCACTGTGTTACTGTGTGAAATTTAAAATCAGTAGAATACTACTAGCAGACTTAGAGAACACATAAGCTTATCTATTCTCAATTAATATAGTCAGATTTTTATTTAGAATATCCACAGCTGATGGAACAAATGACCGCTTGTAGCCATTCTTCCTTGCCATTGGGACTTTAAATCTAGGTCCAGATGGCAGCAACTGGAGAGCACAATGAAGAGGGTGAGTCGGGTCCAGATAGACTTGATGTGCCTTCTTTGTTAAGGCCCGCGTGTAGAAATGTGAAAGTTGCCGCTGTTTAAGTCCAATTGTGACATATGGGCATACACTACTGTGTTCTAATATTTTTTTAAGCATGTTTTACTTGAGTGACCAGGACGGCATAGTTTTAGCACAACAGCAGATGTCACTAGTGAACAATGAATGAAGCAATGAGAAATTAACCTTTGGCCAATGAAGCCTCATTGCTTCACAAGGCTTCATTGGTCATCACTAGCTGCGAGGGACAAACATCAATTCTTCCTTCCTACACATTTACCAAAAAAATATCAACAAGTGATTTTGCAATAAAGATGAAATTTGTATTTACCTTCTTTAAGACAGCAGAAAATCAGTGGTCAAATGATCATGTCACAGGAAACTGCAGAAAGCGACTTCTTTCCCTTTAGCTTTTTCATCTGAAACAAGCCTGCAAAGTGAAGGTAATGTAAGATAGGTAGGTAAGGTAATTTTATTTATATAGCACATTTTCAGCAACAAGGCAATTCAAGACAATTCAAGGGCTCCATCTTTACACACAGTGCCCTCTGATGGCCACCATGAAATCATAAATCAAACAAAAGTCCAAATAGCTATGGATCATAACAATCTTTTTATTAGGTCTTTAATTTTAAAAGAAAATAAATCAGCTTTATGGATTTTCTAGACTGACTAAATGTAATTTTAGATTAGTACTTTGAATTTTTGTTTCAGGTCAAATAAACTGACTTCCAATGTTTTCCACTTGCAGACATAACAAACAGCAGTGAGTCCAGAGGTCCTGGACTCACTGCTGCTCTGCAGCTAATAATTTGTGTTCCAGGTGGAAGAGTACACAACATGGCAGCTCTACACTCCATTACATACATTTCATGTGTTTCATAATTCAGGTTTCTCAGCTTTGGATGTCTAACTGAATTTGGTAGACCAGCATGCCGCTATGATTTTAAGTCTGTTCAGGAATCTAAATTCGTCCACATCCCTAATTAGTCTGGGCACTCTCAGCATTTCCAGATGTGCTGTTAGAGCTGGCACAGCTGTGTTTGTGATTCTGCCAGAATGCCTCTCGTTCCTTCTCTCGGTTTTCTCACAACAGCTAAATACAGTGTTTTGCAAAAGTTTGTCTCTCAGCATCTATTTTGTTCAGAAAGTGTCTGTTGTTGATGTGTTTACACTATATCCTTTACAGCAGCTTACTTGGATACTTGGATTCACAAGTTGGATATGTCTTTGCTGTTATGCAGTCATATTCTAAAGAATAGGGTATGTGTTCTGATGAGGCTCATTTGTCAGGTTAAAAGTACCTTTTGAAAATAACATCCTAATATGAGATAGGACATCAAAACATTAACAGCTGTTTTTTGGGGAAACCTTATGCACTATTTCTAAAGTGAGTCCACCTGACTCATTCTTTCCATTCGTCTTGCAACATGTCAGTTTAGAGTTCCACTCTCTTTCACTGTAAGTGCAAGTTTTAAAGTGACAAATTGAAGTGAGATGTCTGCACTTCCAAGCTTTTAACCTAAAAATGATCCATATTATAGTTGCACAGTCAGTATTTGTTATTTAGCATTTGAATGAGTTACAATTTGGAGTATGAAAGACACTAACTGGTCACACACTAACATTTAATTGAAGTTATTTTTCTTTGATTTGACTTCAAAAATTAAAATGATTACTGATCACAACCTTTCAAAATATTTTTCAGACCACATTCATAGATGACAGTTCTTCACTATCCTCCCAGTCTTTAATCATACCTTGGACGGTTCTCAACCCAAGTTTATTCATTTCTGCATCTCCTTAAATGTTTCCTCTGCTTGATGCCAGTGATTCATTCTTAAATAGACAAACATTCTCTCCATAACCAAAGGATGTTTCCTTCTACATGATTGTTTAAGAAGCGAGAAGCTAATGTTCACATCAGCTGGGATTAAATAACTCGTTACCAGCAGAAAAATAATCTCCCATTGCAGTATTTATCCATTAGGAGACTTGTAATTATTAGCTTAATTAAATTCAGGTGGGGACTGTATTTAACTTAGATAAAAAGTTAAAAGTTAGGTTTCAGTCTAATTCACCTCAGTTTAATTTCATTAGCAGTTTTCTAAATCAGTTGATATATTTAGAATTTAGAGGATCCATTTAATCAGACTCTGAATGACTCAAGTTTTGATTTAATGCTCCATGGTTAAAGGAGTATATACTGTTAATGCCCAAGTCTAGACTGTTAATAATAGTTTTTTGAGGTCAATACTGTGGAGCAGTGGTTAGTCTGTGTGTTCTCCTTTACCTCTCACACAATCACAGCTGGGAATGAACCATCATCATGTCATTTCTGTTGACAGGGTAACATTTTTACATGATTTTTGGCAATGAACTGGAATGAAGCAAAGATTAAAAAGGGCAATGAATATTGCATGGGTGTTTTTGTCCTGCAGGAGGGCGAGGAAAGGATGGTGCCCCCATAATCACTTTTCCAGAGTGCTCAAGCTTCAATGAAGTGCCAGAGGAAGATTTCCTTAATGTAGTCACCTATCTGACCAGCATACCCAGGTAAGTCCACACACAGGGAAACTCAGGACACATATGTTTGTCAAGGAGATGTCTTTACACTTTAAAACTACAGTATGCAACTTGAAAAAATGTTTTTATTGATTTATTAAATTGTTACTATGTGGTGACAGTATAACATGAAACAAATCTGTGAACAAACTGAGCTCCTCTGCCTCCTCCCTGTGGTCCTACTGCCATCTGGCGAAATACACAGCTCAGTCAGAAACAACCACTCACAGTCAAGAGGAAGGTCTAAGCACTTTCAATGATGCTTGTGTATGCACTGCTCACACTCTCTCACTTGCTCTCTGTTATGCTACAGTTCCTTCCTCACACTTGAGGCTGGAATGAATGCTCAGGCTAATTGGCATAGCCATCGTTGGCGACAGATGAACACTTTTCCTGGAATGATGGTTTCTCCACCATAATTTTTTTTTTTACATGATTTTTGGCAATGAACTGGAATGAAGCAAAGATTAAAAAGGGCAATGAATATATGGTCAAGCACATTTTGGCTCTTAGAAGTCAATGATGCGAGCAGTCTCCTCAAGAGAGTCGTTCATCATTATAAGGGGTGGGGCCACAAACTCCGCAGCATCTGAGCGTCACACCACAAGAGAGGTGGAGAGAGAGAGAAAGAAAAATTGAGAGGAAAGAGCCTTCTCCCCACATTTTACCTCTTTTGCTGCTCATTTCTCACTCCCAGGGGAAGTGATCTGCTCAGAACAGAACTTTGTTTTTATTAGCATGGCAGCTTTGTGGCCAATCACATGTGAGGATATGGGACTGTACCATTACGTGAAAACAGAAAGGGAGACAGACAGGGCACTCAGGCTTAGTCCATCTCTTCAGTCAATAGACAAAGGTAAGAAGAATGCATCGCACATAAATACATAACTGACATCTGTAAGAGAAACAGCATCTGGGAGAAGATAAAGATATATAATAATAAATTGTTATTTGTCCATTTGATAGATTTGGTTGCAGTGCGTTGTTCATTTGTTTTTAATCAAAACTTTGAAATAAAAATATACAAAAGTAAGAATGCATGCTTTCATAAGAGAAGAAATACACAAAATTAAAAAAAGTATAAGACTTCTCATATTGGGAACACTGAATACAGAAAAGACTTGTCATGCAAAACATTTCTATTTGCCAGTAAATGATGATAAATTAAGAGCCATCAGGGAGTCGGAAGAGCTGCTCTTCTTTGGTAGCTGAGCCACAGGAGCTGGCTCGCTGAAAAGAGACAAAATTCCAAACCAATAAGCTCCTTGAGCAGCACATACACAACTTGATTGACAGAGCTATGGCCTTCCTCCTTTCTGCACTGAGAACTACATATTTTGAAATAAAATATGTTAAGTGAAATTCATCCCTGTGATGGAAGATATGTGTGCCTTTTAAGGTTTTCTTTCAGAGTTCATGGCAATATTTTCCAGACTTTGGGAACATAATATACATTCCACTCTAAAGCCTTTTGTAACTCTTCTTTCCAGCTTGGATGCTGCCAGTATCGGCTTTATCATCATCATCGATCGACGTAAGGATAAATGGAGTTCAGTGAAGGCCTCTCTATCCCGGATTGCTGTGAGTTCGCCTCCAAATGCCACCTCATAAGAAACCACGTTTCTAAATGTAGTCACACTTCTGGGCAAGTTTACCACATTTACTATTAATCAAAACTGGGCTACAATGTGGACTTGATTGACATGAACCAGACTCCATTGAGCTTTCATGAGCAGAAAGTGAGGTGTGAACACAAACTGATACAAGAAACAATCAAAACAAGATGGTGACTGGAACAGACAGATAAAATGTAAAATGGAACAGCAGAGAGCTGAGACAGAATGAAGAAAAGGAAATTGGTGATATTCAAGGAAATAAACAAGAACTGGAAGGAAGTAGTTCAGAAGAAGAAAGAATAGTTCAGAGGAAAGTTGTGAGAGAGCAATTTAAAATAATATTAAAACTTAAGAATGAAGAACAGGGTAACATCAGCCCCATTGGGGTGTCAAGAGAAATAAAGAAAGTATTGGATCGGGGGTCCTTATCTGTATCCTGCTCTAACCTGTCTTTGGAGGAACCTGAAGAAAACTTTAATAAGCAGAAAGAGACTAAACAGCTCAATGACACTCCTCTGTGTGTTGTTTTCAGGGAGCATTTCCAGGAAACCTCCAGTTGGTGTTGGTGCTGAGACCTTCCAGATTCCTTCAGAGGACAATAGCTGATATAGGAATAAAGCTTCACAAGGATGACTTCAAAATGAAGGTGTGTAGATTTGTACCAAGCATTCATTTGAAAAATTTGGTTTCTGAAGTTTTTGCATTTCTTCTGTTGGTAGCTAAAAAATTAAATGAAAATAATTCTGTAAAAAAGACTTTTCACCAAATGTGATAGACTTTTCATTTTGATTTTCTGTTTTTTTTTTCCTGATTTTTATATCTAATCATTGACTGACCTGTAATACAATAGAAACAAGACTAAGCTAAATGAGCACATACCTTCTCAACTTAAAATATTTAGTTTTACTTCAAATAAGATGCTTCTTTTTTAGGTCAGAAGTACTGACCTAAAAACACATTACATTGCTGTCTTTAATTCCCAGACATAACTAAATGTACATTTTTATCATGAAGGGTAAATGCTTTTGTAGCCAAACATCTATAATGTAGCATGTGGTTCTGAACACTTGAATGATTGTAGTGCTTTTCTTTCAGATTGTTATGCTGAACTCTCTGTCAGATCTTCATGGGTATGTGGATAAAAGCCAGCTGACACAAGAGTTTGGAGGAAGTCTTGAGTACTCTCACAGCCAGTGGATACACCACCGAACTGTGAGTAAATATTGAGTATAAAATCATTTAGATTTTTATTTTCAGTTCTACTTCAGAAGTAGGTAACTAGCACAATGTCATGGTATGTTTAGTTCTTTCAACTATGGGGAACCCTTTTCAAACAATTCTCAATATTCATAGCACAAATATGTCACATATATTACATACATGGATATTTATTTAGAACATTACTTATGAGTTGGTTAATGATGAGGCTTGATTAGATTTCCAGTTTGACTGCTGGAGGGAAGTGGTATTTTGTAAACACACACAGACAACCATAGGGTGCAAAACATAGTGCAAATATTTACAAAAATATATATACAGACAAGTACTTGAAAATTTTAACAGTATAAATGTCCATTTATCTGATCCTCATTTAGCGTGAAACCTGTGATCTTTATCCTTGATCACAAATCTCTGATAATGTTCCTCTGTACTTTATTTTCCTAATAATTCCTGTATTTCTTCTTGTTTCTAATCTTGGCTTTGAGCTGTTTCTATCTACTCCTCAAAAACTCTTTGTCTAGTTCGCCAAAAGGCTCTTTTGTGTCATTTGTCAATTCCTTTGGTTCACTGGTGATTGAAGGTTTGTTGTTAGGAAAGCATCTCACTCATCTGGTGGGGATGGATTAGAATTTTATCACGTTTGGAGCTAACTTAAAGCCTGAGGTACTTTGTGAATAACTTCTCTTACCAAGGAAAAATTATAAAAAAATAGATGTCTCCAGGAGCTACTTTTCGTTTTAGAATTTTTTTTAGAATATGGGCCCTGACATTCTTCACCAACTGATTTCACATCTCTGCATCCATGTAGTGAAGGCATTATTTTCTAGTGATTCCTAATCATCAGTATTGAAGCGAGATCTTGAGTAATACCAATGCTGAAACTTCATTCACTCACTACAATAACATGTTACTACGTGGCAAAACATCTATAGACAAGTCATGATCCAATACACTTTAAAACCAATTTTCTGTTTTAGAAAGTTATAGTTGTTACTCGTGGTGAGGTAGTAGAGCAAGCTATAAACTGTGTGATATTCTGATGCTCAGTTTAATGCATATTTTTTATCTTGTGCTAAACCTAATATTTTGATAGCTCTGTGGTTATAAAGAAATTAAATGTCTTTTGGTAGGGTTAGGGTCAGCAAGTCCAATGCTTAGTTATGTCTCAGAATGTGTCTGGGTTTTTCTTTAGGCCATAGAAAACTTTGCCTTGACAGTGAAAACTACAGCGCAGATGCTGCAGAGGTTTGGGTCGGAGTTGGCAGAGATGGAGCTTCCCAATGATGTCCAAAGCACCAAAGACCTGCTCACAGCGCACACTGACAAACACAATAACCTCAAGGTCAGACAGCACGTTTAGAACATGCTAAATAATGCATGAAAATACAAATATACAAATACAACTAATGTCCTCTTAACCAATGCTATAAAATGTCCTACATGAAAAGGGAAGCAGCGAGAATGGGTAGGTGTACAAATGTTTTACAGGTTGCCTTGTTTACTATTTAAATGCTTTCATGCCTTTTAAACAGGAGGAGCTGAAGCTAGCTTTAAGACAAGGCAGTACCTTGTTTACCTGCATCAAGGACCAGACAGCCAAATTGGACAGTCACAAACTCAAGCCTGATGAGATGGAGAACCAGACAACGGTGGAAAGGTAACTGACACCTTTTATGTTGTGTTCCAATTTTTATTCTATATTTGGAAAATATACACCTTCCCAATATGCCTGGTGAAGTAGATCCTTTCTGCTGTAGACTCCTGGCCCAGCTCGATGAGACAGAGAATGCTTTCGAACAGTTCTGGTGTAAGCATCATCTAAAGTTGGAGCAGTGCCTGCAGCTGCGCCATTTTGAGCAGGATTTCAGAGAGGTAAAACCTCTGTCGGCATGGCAACCTCTGTCCAACAATCTTTGCATAATTTCTGTTCTCCCATCAAACATCTCCAAGACTGAAACTCCTGAAAGATTTGAAGAAAAGATTCCTCTCATTTTTTAAAGTTTTGTGCTTTAAGACTTTTGCAGGACAGACATTTAGAACATTTATTATATAAAAAGTGACCAAATGGTGTTTTTGTACTTATAAAAAATAACATTTTCTCCTGGATGCCTCCCTGGGGAGATTTCCGTTCCACCGGGAGGAGGCTTCCCCGGGGCCTCCTCCCGGTAGAGGGACTATGTCTCCCGGCTGGCCTGGGAACAGTATAGGGTTCCCCCAGAGGAGCTGGAAGAAATGGGAGGTCTAGGTCTCTCTTCTGAAGCTGCTACCCCCGCGACCCGACCCCGGATAAAGAGGAAGAAAATGGATGGATGGATGAAAAAATAAGTAAAGAGATTGAAATGCCTATTTGAACTGTAGTGCTTACAGCCAGGCAGACAGCATGTCAGAGAGTCATTTGATCTGGAATGCGGTCAATAAATCGAAATAGTGGAATCATGTGCACAAGTTGTACATTTACAGAATAGAGATACTTTCTGTCCATAAGGCACATTCACAAAGCAGGCCGCTCGACTGAAGGATAATTGCAGCTGGACTGGTATCGGTACTGCACAGCTCTTTACATTTTCCTCAGAGATCCAGGATGGGCAATCTGAACGCTAATAAACCACTAAAAACATTTTTATTTTGTGTGCATGTTAGCTTATTGTCTGAGGAAAAATTTGTTTCAATTTCATTGTTTACGTTTAAACAATAAAATATTACAATCATGAAAACACATTGGGTTTTAAACTTCTTGGTCTGAATAACATTGAATGTAGTCAGATTTCAGTGTATTTGATGCTTTGTAGCTTGATATTGTCCACAGGAGTTTGACTGGCTATTGCACATTTTCGCGCCAGGAAAAATGTGTGCGTGCATTTACACAAACTTTGACGCAAAGTTATTCTTTATGCATTTTTATGCATGCTGAATTGTGTGTAAAATATGGCGCTGCACATTTTTTGTGCGCATGCACACTTTACACAAGGCTCCAGATGTCTTGCAAGCATCATAGCCTGAGTAAATGGGCAACAAACTTGATATTTTTAAAATTTTTATGAATTGACATTAGAGAAAGTCAATTCAGCCCACTCATACATATAAGACATTTATGTTAACCTGTATTTTACCAAGTAAGTTGTTTGAGAACAAATTCTCATTTTCAACAACCTGTTCAAATAAGAATAGGAGATCCTTGAACACTTTTCATGAATCTCTTCTAACCTTTCTTATTCAGGTTAAAGTGACTCTGGACACACGGATGGACTCCCTTAAAGGCCTTTCTGATGCTGGAGATTGTGTGGCCAGAGTGGAACATCTGCTAAAGGAGCTCAAAACACTTGAGGAAAAGGTTCAGGTCTGTCAACGGAAATGGACACAAACGTAAAACACTACACCAACATGCTTTTCTTTCTCTCTTCTACTAACAGTCTTTTAAAATAAGTCCTTTTTTTAAGGGGGTTCTGATGATGAGCCCATCACAGATACATTAAAAAATCTGTTCCATATTAGGTCTATGCAAAAAAGATGTGGATGTACAGAAGTTAGCATATGGTCATGTCAAGCTTATGGTTATAACACATTTTAGTAAAACTTCAGTTCAAAGTGCTTTACATCATCAAAGCATCAATAAGTCACTAAATATGAAAGAGTAAAGCATTTTGACAAATGCCATCATCAAGCAAATGTATTGATCAATGTTCCAGTTATCAATCAAATGCAATTCTAAACAGGTGGGTTTTTCAGTGTTTCAGTTGTTTTGCAGTTTTCTGGAAGTTTGTTCCAGATTTGTGGTGCATAGAAGCTGAATGGTGCTTCTCCATATTTGTTTCTGGTTCTGGATGCAGAGCAGAACCAGAACCAGAAGACTTGAGAGGTCTGGAAGGTTGATACAAAAGCAGCAGATCTTTATTGTGTTGTGGTGCTAAGTTGTTCAGTATTTTATGGTCTGTTCTCTGAGCTCTAGGAAGCCATGGAAGGATTTAGAACTAGGGTGTTGTGCTTTATCTTCCAGGTTTTGAACATTTGTCCAACATGTCAGTGGAGTTAAAACTACTTTAATTTTCATTAGCATTATTCCAAAACCCCAGAAATAAATGTTTACAATTTTTTTTTGTAAAATTGTCAGTTAACAATAATTGCTATATTTCTGACTTTACTTATTTTTATAGCCCACACTAGAAAAGGCCCAGCTCCATGCCATACATGGTGACCAGCTCATCCAAAGTGACCACTACGCCGTGGACTCCATCCGGCCGAAGTGTGTAGAGCTCCGGCGGATCTGCGATGATTTCAGCAACGAAGCCAAGAAGAAGTCTGATGTCTTATCTAAGTCTTTGCATGTGCACATGGGCATTGAGAAGGTATGGCTGTGAAACGGTTGATGCATTTTGGAAACATCAGTCTCAGAAAACAAATCAGATGTTTGGTTTAATGCCTTCTTTAATTAGTCCAGACACAAGGCTTGAAAATGACTGCTAGAGAAAATGTTCAGAACACAGACATTTTAACTCAAACTGAAGACATTCATACAGAAATTCCACTAGTCTAATTTAGTGCGGAAATTTATATGTGGGACGCCTGGTTGGATTCAAGTCTGACATGTTCATGTGTAAGATTAGCCTGTAGTTCTGTAGTAGTGATTCGTCAATAATATTTGCTTATTGTCTTAGAAACATGACAATGGCACCAAAACTGGGCCACATCTACCCTGTTGGTATTTTTGTGTGTGCAGGTTAATCAGTGGTGTGAGTCTGGCATCTACCTACTGGCTTCCCAAGCTGTGGATAAATGTCAGTCACAGGAAGGGGCAGAATCAGCTTTAACAGACATTGAAAATTTCTTGGTGTCGGCAGAAAAGAACCATGTGACAGAACTGAGGAACCTCCACAACCAGTATGAGGTTGTCCTGTCAGAGGATGTAAAGGTGCAGTGCACAGAAAGCTGTTAGTTAAATTTTGAATAGAAATAATGTTGAGACATTTGATTTTAATGTACATTTGCAGGGCAGTGTCCTGAAAGCACTGAAGCGACTGGAGGATGTTCAAGAGATGTTTGAGAAGCGACGTGTTAGCCTGAAGAGGTTGTCATCCAAACAGACCAGACCCATTCAGCCGGTGGCCCCACGGCCCGAGTCGTCTCCTAAACGCCCCACACCAAAGAACCCTGCCCGGACCTCTGGGGGCCAGCAGCGTGAGTGGGACATGTTTCAATTCAACGGAGTCATGCAAATGAATAGAAAATCTGTCTATGAGATTCAGATCATTTAAAAGTTTACTGCCCTAGAGTGTAAACTTATACAGACTGAATTTGAATTAGGCTAATTGATACTCTTATTGTACTTCAGCACCATGAGTTCAACCAAAGCTTGAATACAATTAAGGCTATGCGTGATTAAGTATGTAATTTATTTTTTTGTTCATTTAATTTCAGCCTTAGTGAGAAAGTTCTCTGATAACTCAAACGGTGGCAAGCAGCCAGCTGAAGCAGATCCTAACAAGAAGAAGAACATACGCAAGACCAAGGGCATCAAGGTACTTCATCACTTACAGTACACAGCTTCCCATGATGCAACAAAACAGAATAGATAACAATGATATTGACCTTAATTTTGATTTATGCTTCACTCATGCAAGCATAGATCTTTGTGGCACTACAAGGTCAAATGACGTCATTTTAGCAACCACATCCCACACACACACAAATACTCACACACATATATACATATGAAATCTAGGAGAAGGCCAAGATTTTATCCAAGAATTTAACACATCTTCTAAACATAAAAAAATCCCATACTGGTAAAAGTTCAATCCATAACTATGTGTAAGTATTTGTGTGTTTATATGTCTCCCAGATTGAGGTGATGCATGAGGAAAGCCAGGGAGGCTCTACCCATGTTGTTATATCAAACGAGAGTGAGGAGAGCCTGTCCAATAGACGCAGGTAAGAAGAAACGCTCTGTCAGCATGCACTCCATTGACCCCAGGTCCTGATGTCATCAGACCATCATATTAAAGAAGACAAAATTCAAACTTTCTAACAATATTTTTTAAGAAAAAACTTTTCCAAGTCACACAGATATATTACTCAGTCAAAATACACACACTCTTTGAAGGGTAATGGGAGGATGTTTACTGGTTTAGGTGTCAGTTTCTTTAAAGTCAACTAAAAATACCCCCAAACCTGACAAACAATGACAAAACCCAAAGAATTACAATAAATTTCTAGTAAGAAATAAATTAAAAGCAAAAATGTCTTCCCCCGCTGTTGCTCATCCCTCGAGGCCAGTCTTACACAGTGGTGCCCAGATCACAGTGGACCCCAGATCACTGGGTTGTGTGTGGGGGCCCCCTAGTGGTCCGTGAGGTTCTGCATGAAAACAACTGTTTATTGGCTGTGATGTGAGCTCAAAGTGCGATGCTGCAGCTAGTTTACCAAAGAATTGTGTCTAAAAATAATAATGGATGAATGGCTTAAAAGGGTCACTAAAAGTAAAACCTGAAGATACTGTTGAAACGTTTCTCAGGGTGACTTGCAGGGCTTGGTTTTTGAACTCTTATTACAACACACAGCAATAGATCTACGTTGCTGTGTTGAATGTCATGACTGACAAGGCGGTGAGCAGAGCTGTGCCCCCCGCTGGCTATGTTGACTATCTACTGGCTGAAAGAAACTGTTCTTTTTTGCCATAGCAACCCAAGTCTATATTTCATTTATTATGCTTCGAAATGATAAATGGCTCTTAAAAAGTATTAGTGCTCACATTTTCAAAGAACCTTTTTGATTTCCATGTATTTTCTATCATTGAAAAGATAAGATTTCACATTTTCTAATATTAGACATTATTGTTGGTTATGCAGAGCTAAAACTTATCAGCAGCTTGTGTGAATCACAGTTGTTAGAATTGTTTTCATGACTACACATTAAGGGCTGAAAGCTGTTCAAATAAGCATAGCAACATATAAGGTAAGGTTTCTTATCACTCAAAAGTAGGACACACTTGCACAGGAAATCTGTGGTCTTTATTGCATGACAATGTGTAGACAACTCAGTTAGCACAAACATGATTAAAAACCCAAAGAACCACTATTTTCGTTTTTTGTATTATCAACTATTGACCAATGTTTCAGAGATCATTTATGTAAAAGCAGCAGTACAGGAATAGGTGTTCTGGTAATACGGACGACACAGTAGCATCATCCTAATAGCTGTGCAGTACAGATTACCCAAAAATCCCCTGGAGTTGTTGGTTGCTGGAAAATCTATGGCTGCTCGCCACAGTGAGCGCAGATCTGTGGAGTGACCATGTGATGTAATCATGTGATCATAGATACAGGGGTGGTACGGAGCCTTCCCCTCCCCTGAAAAGTATTCATACTGCATGGGAAACACCCCCATAGCTTTGGCACACATTCCCATAAAGACATCGTCAATGTACAGTGAAGAGTTAAGCACTAGTGTGGCGTGGTAGATCTTTGCAGCCACATTCCCTGAAACTATGTACCCTGCTCCAGCTGTGTAATCTGGGTACGAAGGCCAGGGGTACAAATCATATGGGACAAAATATTTGCTGCCTTTCCAACGAACTGGAGGAGCTCCTTTGTGAACCCAAAGGTTCTTTGTACCTGGTTGGCTAACCAGAAGATGTTGCAAGTACCTCACCAAGTTTGGCATATGAACAAAAATATCATCATCTGCTGTCATGAGAAAGCGTGCCTGCGAGCAGTAAATTTGGCTCCAGTGGAATTGCATGATCAGTTTGGTGGTCAGGTTGTGAAATGTGTCAATAAAGTCCTGCTGGATCAGGTCTCCATAGGTCTTGTCTTCCTGCTGCAGGGCATGTTGGAGGCGGAACCTCTGAGCAACACCTGAATAAACGCCCATAACAAACAGAAGCCTCAGACTCACCCCCAGCTCTGACCAGACAAAGCTCTCATTACCCCACGTCTCCCTGTTGGCCTGGCGCTGCTCAAAGTTCTCTGGGGAGGATTTCACAAACAAAAGCAAAAGAACATCATCCCAGTCTTTGCCATTTTCAGCTCTACATTTGTTGGGGTGGTTAATCAGGTATGGATAGGTCACAGAGCGACTTCCCACGTTGCCAGAGCTAGAAGTGGCATTGAGGAAGTTGTACCTGTTGATCAGGTAACGGTATGAATAAGATCTCATGTGGCTCACAACATGAAGCTCCAAATCCTCCCAGCAGACCACAAAGCACTGTGGCTGTGGTCAGCAGGTGCACACATGAATGGATGCGTCGAAAATTCATGTACATTATGACTACATATATTTGAACATCAGCAGCACATTATTCACTGTTGTTTATAATTTTATGTCTTCTGTCTCTTTTTCTTTTACCTTTTTTTCTTTCTGTTCCTCCAACTACAAAGTGCTGTCATGTCCAGCAGGCTTTTTTCAGGTTCTTTAGCATAGTGCTTTCTCCATATTTTCTGGATTGCATGCAGAAACAGTAGTGCACCATCATGGTGAAACCAGATCTCAGCAGAGTTTAACTTCCCTCCTTCAGCAAACAAAAGGCAGCATGCTGCCTGTTTCTTTTCTCCTTAAAGATCTGCGCTGGTTTCATTTCTCCACTTTCTTGTTCTTCAACCACTCGGGTTACAGAAATACTTGGAACTGGAGCGACCATAAAACACCTGGAAAAATACAGAAGTAATTAGATTTTGAATCATATTCTTTAACAGGAACATTCATTGACATTTGATTTAAATAAGAAACAGAAGGAAATCTGATGGATATTTATTAACTAAGTATCAATAAACCACCCATACAGATACATCATTAAACAAAAAGAGGAAATGTTCTTATTTAAAGATCATTTTTATTACTCTTTTATAAGCCAAGCAGTCAGTAATGATCAAGCTGATTAGATTTTCTGAATATAGTCTTCTTAATGCTTGCATATTTTTCCTATTGAATCAATGTAGTCAGCTACTGTCAAAGTTTAAAAATTTTACATGTTTGTTCTGAGTAAGAAACAGAGAAAGAAAAACTCAACTCTAGACTAAAAAATGATTTACTGACAAAGAATGTTTGTTTCAAAAAGTCTTTTCAACATTCTACTGTTAAAAGACTTAGGTGATTGTTTTGATTAAGGAAACATGGAATAAGGCTGCTGGCACCCATGTTTACTGGGGTACCAAGAATTGATGTAAATGCTGCATTCTGGTTTGTATTGAGAACCAGATTACATAATTTTTTTTTTCTGTGCAATTACATATTTGTATATTTTTCTTACAATCAATGCTATAGCTTATATAATGTATCTCAGAATAAATCATGATGATGGAATTGAAACGTTTTCTTTTTCTCACATGCCTTTCCTAACCAGTTAAGTAGATTTGTGGGGAAAATGTACTCAAAGAAGGAAGTCACTTCAAAATAATATTATTTAGAAGTCACACTAAAAACACAACATAGTTTATTGTACTTTTAAATAAAAAATGAGCAAAGGTAAATAACATAAAGACAAAAGAAGACATGCACAAAATATGACTGTTTAAAATATTATTTTCAAACTCCTAAATAATACATTTACAAGGAAACAAAGACAAACTTAAACTCTAACTAATATGGTTTAGAAGACAATAGTATTTTAATCTTAAAAGGAAATAGTTCTTGACCAATTCCCTGGTAAGTCAACATACATAGGTGTAGACCCAGATGTTTGTTCCCGGATAGATGAAAACTGTTTAGAATACAAAAACAAGTAAATTCAAATGAAAATATTACATGTTTGCACATTAGGATGGTTTAGAGCAGTGTTCTCACAGAGCCAGACTAGTTATTTGTCTCTGACATCAAGACAAGTCAGCAGGCACATGAGACTCAGGAGGATCCCAGTGCAGCAAACCAGTTTGGCTTACCTGCATGAAGAGGCAGTCCCTTTACCTCATCCAGCATTAGAATACAGAGAGCTGAACCCAATCACTGGAGTCATGTAACAGTCCCAGTTGTGTCTGCGTGTTTAATCCTCTCCAGGCAGATGTTGCAGCTTTGCAACAGCTCAGTGCTACTTAGCGAGTCTTTGCAAGTAATTTGAGCCTGAGAGGGTTAAAGATCGACTCGTCTCCTCTTGCTTGGGCTGATATTTGGGCTTACATTATGACTCAGTCCTGAATGAATCCCTCTCTGCTTGGGTTTGGTTTCATGTAACATTTAAGGTCTGTAAAGAAATGATAAAACTTTGTAAAAACTGCCAGCATTTGGAGCAACACTTTAAAGCACACATTGGCTCAGATGACATGGCCTGTGTCAGATGATCATAAAAAGTAGGTTGGTAAGAAATTGGATGGTCATGGCGTTCACTCATCACTTTAATATCGATACACCAGACTAGTAGACCATGGGCTAAAATTTCAAGGTTCATTTTTAAAAATGTATTTAATGATTTGCTTTTTTTAACTAGCACTTACTTTTAGAAACCTTGATAAAATATTAATTTTTATACTTTAGGTAAAAGATTGATTGAATCCAGGTTACAAAGGATGCTATAAAAGTGTCAGGAAAGGGACAGAAAGAAATTCCCTCAGTAGCTGCAATTCCATTAACCATAGAATTGTGCAAATTGAAATTTCAAAAATGAATTTGCTCTATAGAAACATTCCAATTTTGAAAAAACTCTGTTTTTGCACCAGGATGAGGTGGTTTTTCAGCTGTGTCAAAATAGATACATTTTGGTGATAGATAGATAGACTTTTTACTGCATCACATGAGTCATGGTCAGCTGGATATTATTGGTTTGTAGTTATTATTAGGGGGGTTTTTTGGTTCAAGACAGTGTGCAGCTGGCTCCACCAGAGCTCCCACAGCATCACATATTTCATAAAAAGTTGTGTGACATTTGAATGTGTTGAATCTTCTGTAAGTAGCTGCTCCTAATAAGGGGCTTCTTTTAAATTAAAATATGAGTCAAAATATGAGTTTAAAACTGGAGAGCAGCCAGTTGGCTGCTCATTATAATGTTCTATGATGAGCTCAAAGTCCAAACAGTATTTTAACCAAAAATCAACGGTGCTTATCCGTGAAAGAAGACCTCTGCCAGTGAAAGACAGTGGTGTCAGGATCTTGCACTGGGGTTGCTTTTCTTCAGCAAGAATGTTTTCTGTATGTCACTTTTGGCCCAAAACCTTCTGATGTGAGTTCAAAATTTGGGGATCAAGATTATTCTCTTCTCTAGCATCTCAGTGGGATCACACTTATTTTTATTTTCTTGGTTTTGTTTCTGTTTCTCTTTGCTTATTTTTAGTTGAATTGCGGAGGACATGAGTCAGTATTTTTGTAAAAAGCACAAATTAACAAAAAACTAAATGTTTCTGGTTGTATTTTTGAATAAACCTTGGCATTGTTGCAAGGCTTTTTAGAGCCACTGTACGATCCAAAAAGTGAGTGATATTCAGCAATCAAACATAAATACAAAAATATGTATCTGGGGAAAACAAGGCATCACAATGACACCACCTCCAAACACACAAGCTACTCTGTAAAGGTGTTAAAGACAGGTGATCCTTGCTTAACGGTGGAAATTACGGTACTCACAGCCGGGCCAACTCCATGTGAGCATACAGACAGAGAGGATGATCAGCTTCCTGTTTCTTTGTGCCATGGGTAGAACATGTTTTGACACCTTCTCTGTTCTCTTTCCTCTGAAATTGTTTGAGCTCTCACGATGCCGGTCTTCCTGTTGGTTATTGATATATTGCTCACTGCCAGTGCTGCACCGTGTGAGGTCCTGAGCTGGCAGCAGCACCTCACACGTGCAGGGTGTCAGACCTGCACGTTTTCTTTTTGTTCTTTTGTCTGTCACTGAGCCAGAGTTGGGCACGGTGTAAAAACTGTCCATGCAGTGATGGCATGCACTAGTCCTGGTATTTGGGATATGCTGCGTTTATTTGGAGCAATTTGGACTGCAACAAATCATCTTCAGTGCAAAAAATCTGAAAGACTTCAAGTTGTCTCAGCAGAACTCCATACTTGAATTGAATTAAGATATGAATCAAGAGATTCCTTAAGTCATTTATTAAGATATCTTAAGATATTGCTTAAGAATTATATCTTAAGAATTACCTGAAGAATTATAATTATTTTGTGTTTGTTAAAACACAAAAAGCAAAGACAGGTCAACCCCTGATAGAACTACTGGTATTCTACACTGATTATAGACACCCAACTTTGCTTTTTTATACTTTTCTCTTATTTTTGACAACAAGAATGGAAGGTCAGCAGTTATGGGCTAGTCAGGAACTCATACTCTTTCCACAAATTTTTATGTCAGACAAAGATAACCTTAAAATGTGATTTACTATGAAAAAAATTTATCCAAAAAACCCAGTCATATGTGTAAAAGTAATTCCCTACAAATCTAGTAATTGGTTGCTTCACCCTCAGCAGTAAAAACCTTGTCATCCTCTGAGCTGGATGACAAGTTGAGGACGTAATGGGGACATCTAAATCAGGGATATGTCTAAGTCATGCAGGACAGCAGGCCAATCATAATGTTAAACAGAAAAAATCAAGGTTTCATAAGTTACAGACAGTCTTCAGTGTTCTTGAATTTGTCTATGCACCACATGTAACAGAACACATACTTTGCAAAAAAGTAAAACTTTTGTTTCATAACTTGGAATCATCAAAATATTTTTTGACAAATGTTGGGACTTTGAATGATGTTTTGGTCAGCAGTGGTTTTGGCTTAGAACCGTTGGACACTGACTTTAACTTGATGAAGTGAGGTCTCGAGAGCTTGAGATATTGGTAGATTCTTTTCTGTATAAAGTGAACTCTTAGCAGAATGTTATTTGAAGCACAGGGCTGCTGCTTAAGGAATATTCTGCTGGAAACCACCACAGAAATGGCACACATAACTATAAGCATCAAACTTAAAACCATGTGCCAGTTGGAAACTGGACATTGTGTGTGTCACACAGCATATTTCTGTTTAGTTTGGATTTCTACTGACTCTAAAACCTAAATAGTGCTTCTCAAATGTAAGCAGAACTATAAAGATGATTTTTCAGTTAACATATTTAAGCACATTCAGCTCTTATGAAACAGACTGAACAGTTACTACAACCTCTTACTGTCTTCGGTTATTATAGGACATTTGCCGTCTAATTAAATTTGATCAAATAAATATGTTTGTTTCAAAGTTATATACTTTGCTAAACATGGAGCAAATAAGATATTTTACTTAGTTTGGATAATGGATCTGCATGTTGTTATCTGAGAGGATATTATAGAGCTTAATATCTCTGCTAAACTCTGGGAACTCTGAAGACTTTTTTTTATCCCTGAGGGTGAAGCTTGTTCACAATAAGCCTTACTCACCTCTATGAAGTTTTCCATCTGTCAGTACTTTGTACATTTGATAATCAGACATGTTTTGACTTACCGGGCTACTTTGTGGTCTCGTCTTTGACTGAGTTCAAGTTAAGATCCAACGTTCCACGCCCTTATCTGTTCATCTCAGTTCAGCACTTATCTGTCTGTGAAAACTCCTATTTCTTCTTTATCCAATCTGATGCTCATTGAACTTCACACCTAAACACTCCTCTGCTCCAGTTTAGCTGAATAAACTATGAACTGTTGTTTTAAACTACCCTGGGAAAGTTTTTTTTTTATTATTGGCTCATGGGAGAGTGGGAGGAGACACTTCGTTATCTCATTTGGCTTGTGGTTTAAAGCTCCATATTCTTCTTACAAAGTCAAGACGATCAGGTTTCTTCTGCATTTACAGACAAACAAATAAGGTAATAAGGAGAATAAAAAAATAACACTCACAGAATATTCTGGTCTTACTAAAGAAGTGTTTCCATGTTGATGTTTGATCCCATTCTTTATCTGGGGAATCCAGATAAAGAATTGGATCATAAACAAAATATTTCAACAATGATGAGTACACACCTAATGGAAGCACTGCAAAGATTTTCAAAACACTATTTCTGGACTGAACAATCCTCCAGCTCTAAGAAATTTTTGCAGGGGATGTGACTGAACAGAAAAAGTTAAGCTTGTTTCTAGTTCAGACACAGTACATTAATGAGAAATTAGGTTCTTCTTGTGCAGTACTATGCATTCATGTTAGAAATCCATCTTGTATTTGTTGAAAACTATCATCATATTTTCATACAAAAATTCACACTTGAAAACAAAGTCTCAGATTTTCAGTTAACTAATTCCTTTATTAGTCAATCACATACACAGTGTAAAGATTTTCCAAGCTGTGCTGCATAATAAAACTTGTTTTGCTGTCAAGACAATCAGGTGAAGGCCTTCACATCAAATAAAGGTTTAGAGTGGCACTCTTTGCTAGTTTTTGTTGTTGTCTTAGTTGTTGATTTAATTCCTTACACACTTCTGATTTTAAAACACAATATTTTGTAAATTCTCTGTTCTAGATGATTTCTTGTTTTTGGAAGATGAAGTCACTCATCTTACTACATCAGTCCTTCTGATGTAGAAGAACTGAATTTATGTAGCACTTCTAGTCATGCTAACCACTCAAATTGCTACCAAAACCACATTCACTCAGGTGTGACCACATTCATGCAATGACATACACATCACTAGGTAACATGGGGTAGAATGCCTTGCTGAGGAGTTCATTGACATGTGACAAGAGAAAGCTGGAATCAAATACACAACTCTGATTGTAAAAAACTACTCTGATTAATAGTCAGCTCATAAACATTTCTTCAAACAATTAATTATTTTCTAGGTTGTACTATAAGAACAAACTCCTGTAGCTATTTACTCCTGTCATTTATTTTGATAGTGAAAGGGTAAACAATGTAAGATTTGCTTTAGTTTCATGCTAGTTGACCCAGAATAAGTTCACAAATAAACTTTCGAATTTTGAGTGATCTATCTCTTACAGGGGTGCTGCTTACTGTGCTTATTGGTATTTTGTTTTTCTTTGCAGACACATAATGATGGAGCTGATTGAATCAGAAAGAATTTATGTGGAGGAATTACAGAGCATCATGGAGGTACAGTATATGTACATTCTCAGCAATGCCTTTTTGTTTCCTTATATCCAAGTAGATGCTGTCAGGATCTTGGGTTGCTTTGGAGTTTGATTTATTGATTCTAGTTTCATTATTATTCTGTGTTCCTTAGGCTCTTTCATAAGATCAGCCTGGTTTAGATTTACCTCAGTCAGTTCTTGTGTCTAGTTTATTAGGTTTGATTATTTCTTGTGTCTCTCTCTCTCCCAATCTGTTTATATGACACATGTTATCAATCAAAAAGTAGTATAAAATCAAGAAAATTATGGAAAATCCTGGGCATTGTACTCATGTAAATTAGGGTAAAACTTTTGGTCACGGTGTCACATTAGATTTATCATGCGGCCACACCCACTGGCCAGCGGTCTAAGTAACAGACCGCCAACTCTTTTATCTCTGGGTAAGGTTTCATGTTGATTTGGTCAACATAAAACTTTTTGAGTTTTAAGTGTTGTTGCAGACCAGGGATCAGTGACTTTGAAGGAGATACGACAGTTTAAATTTCATGGTGAATAATCATACTTTCAAGCCTGGCTACACCTGTTAGACATGCATAAAAAATTAGTATATTGATGTCTTCAGATCCACCATGCATTGTGAGTAAAACTTGCTAACTTTCTAGTCGATCAATTAAAACCTCTAGTAGGAGCACAGGTAAAAGAGAGGTTAAAGTAGGCATTGGGTCGCTTAATAAATTTCTTAAAATTTCATCTACCTTACCAAAGTAAGGTAGATGAAGAGGGTGTTCTGAAAATGTGGAGTGATTTCTAATGCAAATTTTATGTTGCATTCACATACAGTAGTATGTGCATGTGCAAAATCAGGTGAGTTTTGTATATGTATAGGCCTCCAAAAAGCTACTTGAATTTGGAAGCTCACTACAATAGAGTCACATTCACCCACCCGACTCCCTCCACAGTCAGATAACAAGCTGGCAACAGCTGATAGGATGTGAGGAATGTGCTGGAATAAGTCCCACAGCAACTCCAAACTAATAACTTCTCATAGCTAACATCAACTGCTATTTTCCTTGTTAAGCAACCTACTGTAGGACTAGCCTGGCCAGTTGCAAACTTCTGCCCAGGTTCCTCTTGAAAATGAAATCTATATCTCAACAGTGTTTACCTGGTTACATAAAGGAAATAAAATAAAATAAATTGCCTTCCTGTGCAATTCTGTTTGATTATAGTCTGTTTGTTGTTTTGAAACTACAAGAGTCCTCACCTCCAGGAAATAATTGTTTAAAAGTAGACTAGACTCTGGACCCTTTGGATGAAGCAACTAGTTTAGAACAAAGAGCTGGATTTTACCAGGCTATTACAGGCCTGGTCAGGATGGTTTTGGCTCAGGTCAGTATGTCCCAGTCTACCCAACACCTAAAGAATACCTTAAATGTCATTCCAACAAAGGGAGACTCTTGACTTTTACATTTGTTATAGAGACTGATGGAAAACCTAATTTGCCTTCATTGACTACTTTTTCCTTCATTTTCTTCTGTTTATCTCTGTGCCTGCTCCACAGGGCTATGTTGCTGAGCTGAAGAACTCGGGGCTCTGCCACCTCATCCCCCCCACGCTAGAGAATAAGCAAGACGTGCTGTTTGGCAATCTGCCAGAAATATATGATTTTCATAACAAGTAGGTCAAAGTAGGTCTTTGTGTTGGTATATTCTGATGTAAGTTGGCAGGGTTGTGAACACATATCACAGGGAAGACAAGGAAACCATTTATTTGGTTAGTAAGATAGCTATGTGTGATTTTGTATATGCTTGTGCTTTGAAAATTTTCAGGCATCTGGGAAGTAGCTTATCTTACAAATTTATGATGGAAATGTTTTGTGATTATGGCTTGTGAGTACATTACTTTATCCACTGTCAATACTCACCTATCATTGTAGAAGAGTACAATGCCTATCTCCAGTAGTTATTGAGCAAGAAGGGGGTTCACTATAGATAGATGACCAGTCCATTACAAGGCAATACAGACGTTCAAAAGAAAAAAACAAACATGCATGTACTCACTGCTAAGGACAATTGAGAGTCAACAATTATCATGGCATCTGAAATGTCCAATTACATCATTTTAAAAAAGTGATGTAAGATGTACATATTGACTGTCAAGTGAAATCTGGAACAGCCTTTTCTCTGATAGTTTTGTACTCTGGAGCTGACAACATAGAGGAAGTGGACACAAAAATCTGTGAGGGATGACAGAGTCCCTGCTCGAAATTCCGTGAAAGAAGTTCAATGGAAGTCCATTGAAAGGCTGTTAACACTGTTGTAAATTGTGTGATTGTGAGTGAGAATAAAAATACCAGTAGGTATTTTGTTCCATATCGCACAATACGGGTAAAACCAGTAAACCTTTTGTGGATACAAAGGCAAGAACCTCCCACTTGACTGAAGACTGCTCCAAAAGCAGGAAGTGGACTACAGCACTGGGCATTTTGGGTAAATGCCACTAAAACAATTGTCTTGTGGTCTTTTCCTAAAGACCAAATAGAAACTACAACCGCTAAAATCTGACACCACTCCATTTTTGTCCTCATTTATTGAAGAATATCATTGCATTCAGTATCTTCAATGTTTTTTGAGTTGTTTCTTTCAGTAGTTTTTGGTGATAAGCTGCCACAGGCAAGGAAGTGAACAGGTTGCTCAATATCATATTTTCCCATCTGCCAACGGAACCAGCATCAAGGATCATGATAGAATCGCAAGTATTTTATAAGGACACATAACCAGGACAAAGTCATGAATGAATGAATGAATGAATGAATGTGCAACAGGTTTAGGTTTAGATAAGTTAAAACCAGATAAAATTTATTTGGAGAACTACTTTAAAATGATGATTTCTGAAACTGTTAAGTCAACCTCAACATCCTCTGTTTAAAATTAGTGTTTAAAACATATTTTAACTGTGCAAATGTGATTCTGATTTTCAGCATATGCATTCATGAAGATCGGTCTGATAAGAGCCTGTATAATAGCAGGAATTTAGTTTGGTCTGTGTTTTGTCTGCAGAACATTCCTCATGGAGTTGGAGAACTGTGCAGAGAATCCAGAACTGGTTGGAACCTGTTTTCTGAAGAGGGTGAGTTGATGAACAGATTCAAACACTGTAGCAATAGATTTGGCATGGAAGATTTGGTAATAAATAGAAGCATAAACTGGAACCAGATGAACATTGCTATGCACAATGAAAAACATGGCATACTCAAGTTCCTGCACAGCTGAGCTGAAATATTACTTCCAGTAACAAAAATATTCAAATCCATTTTACTCAAAATAACCTCGTCTCTTACATTAAACACGTACATTACTCACATTACTTGAGTTGAGATGTGTGTCATATGCTTGTAGAAACAGAACATTTGGAAGACAAACGAAGGATAAGATTTTATTTTAATTCAGAGATGGACTAAAAATGGGCGATGGAGCTATCATGGGGTGATGTTTGTAAAATTTCAGTCAAAAATTAACAGCAATAAGCCAGGTGATTTGTGATAGACTGTGATAGACTAGGATTTGAAAGGAATCATGTGCATGCAGGCACATCCAACTGATCAAGATGTAAATTAGAAACTTGCAGAATTTCCTTCACTTTAAACAAAATCAGTAAGAATGCTCACCCTTTTTTCAGGTAAAGGCATACATGACACATGAATATTTATTGAAAACGCATAACTCATCAATTACATCATTCTGGAAGCTTCCTGCACAGCTGAGCTGAAACATTACTTCCAGTAACAAAAATATTCAAATCCATTTTACTCAAAATAACCGTCTTGTACCTTTCTGAGGCCAAACATGTACATTATTTGAGTTGAATGAACAGTTTAGTGAGACTTAAGTAAAAGATACAAACCTAATTTAAGAAAGAATAGGTAATAGAGTGAATAAACTGCTTGCATAAATGATTCACTTCAGTTTTTGCTTATGTTACCTCTTCATCATTGTTTCTTTTTCTCTTTTTCTTTCCATCATTTCATCTTAAAACAGGACGAGATGTTTTAATGAGAATGCAGACGCTTGCTAATAGGTCTGCAGTAACTTCTACAGTCATTGCGCTAGCAAATAAATGCATGCTCATCAGCATGCAATTTTTTAAAGGTTTACAAAGTCAAGCTTTTGTTTTGATAGACCACTTCCAATTATTAGCAAGTGAATTTGCATATAAGTTAAATATTTAGTTTGGAGGGAAATCTTTAGTTTGAAGCTATATATTTAGTTTCCTAGCAACATATCTCAGTTTAGAACTAAATATGTAGTTTGTAAACATAACTTGATGAGTCAGCTGGGTTTCTTTAGATAGTAAAGTTCTGACCCACTTTGAATAATGAACTGAGCTTATTGCACTGCTTGACAACTGGGATAGATTAGAATGTATTTATGATTGAATTTAAATGACAGGAGGCCACATTTGATGTGAATTAGTACTATAGAAATAAACTAAATTCAATTAAAATTAATATTTAGCTTAGTAATTACATATTTAATTTGGAACTGATATGTGAAGTCTTGGTGTAAATTCAAACTGGAAGACTTTTCTGCCACACCTGCATCATCCAGTTGCTGCGTTAAGTTCATCGCTGCCAATCTATCAGCACCAGACCATGCCCATCACGACCAATCACCGATCAATGTCCCACTTATAATGACCTTCATCCATGGCATTATTTGCTTTCCAGCTCTGCTTAATCCACCTCTGTTCCTTCTCCACCTCCATTCTCCCATCTCTTCATCTTCCATCCTTTCTTTGACCTCCACCAACAGTGTACTGGCCCTGGGGGGAAGACATCCCTAATCAGCATTGGGAATACTCATCCAAGCTAATTGCAATTCACAGCACAATGTCTTCTGCCAGGGCCGAGCACTGAAGAACTTTAATCCATTTATGTCAATGAGCTTTTTTAATTGTTATTTTCTCTGTCTGAGTCTCCCCAGATTGAATTATATATGAAAGAAAACATGGTGTAAAAAAATAATGTTAATTTTTTTCTCTTATAATAGACTATATTATTGCTGTTAATATTTGGCAGTGTAACTTTTCAAACCACACCCCATAGTTGTCAGTGTCTAAAGTCAGCTGGTCCCGAACATTTGAATGAAGTGCTGCTGTTCACTCTGACATGTCTGTGTTGTCAGAAAGAAGAGCTTCAGGTGTATGAGAAGTACTGCCAGAATAAACCCCGCTCTGAGGTGGTGTGGCGGCAGTGTGGAGACAGCCTCTTCTTTCAGGTAAAACACACTCCGACTTAGAACAAGGTGTTTGGATGAAGATTACCATGTGCTGCATTAACGAAAAATCTAATTTCTTTTTATAAAGATGTGACATTCAATATTTCCCCCAGAATACTTGCTAAGCCTGGTAGTTGGGGCACCAAGGCGACCCATCATGTTTTTGTATTAAAAGATGTTAAGTTGACAGGAAATGTACAAAATAATTATGTGACAGGATGACATTTTCAAAACTACTTAAACCTACAACTATAGGGTCTCAGAAACAACAAATAATAAAAAAAAAATGCAATTACAGTAAATATCAATTATTTGTACTTCTGTTAAATGCAAATTAAGTCTCCACCTCCTTCAGGTCCCCCATTCCTTCAGGGGCCACATAAATGCTAATATTTTAACATAGACCACAGTAAAGAAATTATGCATTTGTTATTTGAGAATATTAATGCTTTTAAATTTGATTTAATGATTTCAGCACACACCGTTTAACATTTAAATTTAAGATTTTTAGGAGCTGACAAGTTTGCTTTGTAAAAGTTCAAAGAATAATTTTCATAGTTAGATTGTTTTATTACCATAGCTACAATTTGATGCTATCAGTTAAATCTTTGAGTTTGAGCTCTATTTGTTAATAAATATAGCTTAGCAAACTACAATTGTCACTGATAGCTTTTCAGGTTAAGCCAATTGAACTAACTCCTCTCAGACTTCACTAAATCCACATTGAAACACTGTTAGTGGTGCTGATGCTCTTGGCAGCAAGAAGGGCCCCTAAATGAAATTATGCGCAAGGCCTCATACAACCTTGGACCAGCCCTGCAAAAACTGAATCCACTGCACTGCACATCTCTCTGCTGGATGCACAAGAACAAATGGGGGATTTAATTTATGTGGCTTTAATAATTCTTTCATTTTCTGTGTATTGAGATTTTAATAAGCACCACAGAGACTGTTCTGGTTGCCTGAGTTTTATGGGACAAGTTTTTCCTGATTTCCATGTGCAGGGGACTGTATGTAGGCAAAGACTTTGATATGGTGCAGTTTGAAGCATTGTGTCGCCTCAAAATGTAAAAATAATAATAAAATTAATCATCATCATCATAAACACGACCAGCGTGTTTAGTGACAACAAGGCAATCACAAATGCTGCTCCTCCATGGTGTGAACCACTGGTCTAACTAATGAACACATAAACAAGAAATGTAGATGCACACTGCACATGATTGTTTGTTGTTTGTTTGTTCACAAAGATGTATAATTCTTTCACTGCATGCTAAACACATATCTAAAAGCGCGACTATAGCTTATACATATAAGGTTATATAACTTATATTAGCTCAATGTGAGCAGCTTGTGCAGCTCACATTGATCTAATATGAGCTGAAGTGCACATTGAGCTGCACAAGCAGAGCAAACGCAGTGGCTTTTAAACATGACTCATACCTTGATGAAGAATCCTCCAAAGAAACACAGTCCTCACAGGTGTTTGATATAAATGCCAATACAAGACATATTCCTAAGTCTGATGAAGATCTTTGTCCTTTTTGACAACAGGAGTGTCAGAAGAAACTGGACCACAAACTGTCCTTGGATGCCTACCTGCTGAAGCCTGTACAGAGGATCACCAAATACCAGCTTATGCTTAAGGTACAAACAGACAGAATTGGTAATCCAGTACTTGTTCTCTCTTTGGACATAATGACACTTAACTTCATTATTTTTTGGTGAATAATTAGCTATCAGTTTGATTAGGTATTAAACCCATGTTTGTTGAGAAGTACTGTTCTTGGAGTTTGTATTCACATTCTAGCCCCAACTCTTTGAGGGAGCCTTCAGTATTTGGTCTGACAGTTCTTTACAACGCAGACAAGAAAGCCCACAAAGACAGATACCCAATTAGCTATCAAAAAAGTCATTTTTTTGTCAGCTACCACATCTGTTTAGCCATGGTCAGTAGTTTATTTCATAGCTCTTTGATGAGCCATGAAGTGATGCTTGTCAAATACAGTTTCCAGTGATGTACTTCTTTCACAACTAGACAGTACACTATGGATTTCAACTGCAGGACTATTCAAAATATGTTTTTAAAGAACAGTGAGTAAAAAACTACTACTACATTTGTTGAGTTTGGGCTGATGATATCACTGGAGGCAATATAACAGAAGAAACAGGAAGCTGGTAGCTGGCACTTTAAACGATGCGGAGGCCTGAATGACTTTTGACAAAAGTCCATATGGGTTCTGAAGCATTTTAGAAATTCAACCTTGCCAGTCAGATATGAGCCCCTACTCTGTGATAGCTACTGCTGTATATGTTACGTGTTAGAAACAGAAAAATTAAACAACTAAACAACTGTCTTCTAATTGTTTAATGTATATTTGAGGAGGAGGCTTGGTTTCATTTGATTGTAAATCACTATTAAGATGTGGTCTTCTGTCATTCTGTAATTTCAGATTTTTTTCCTCAACATGAAGATATCAAGTAAATACTATTGTAACATTTTAAGTTACTTGTGTTAGTCTTGCAAAATGTATGATTTTATGTCAAAACTACATGTTTGAGGTAATGGACTTGGGCAGAGAATTTTATTTGTTTGAGTATGAGAAGCTTGCTTTTGGTTAGATTTTACTTTTATTAAGTAACGATATGCCACAGGAACAATTGCTCCATTGGTAGAAAACTGGATCTGACAAGAATGTAAGTGAGTTTACAAAATGCCTGACTGGTTGAAAAACTGTTTACATCACAGATCCATCCGGGAATAACTCTTTGTCTGATAAGAGAAATGGGTCACAGGAAATCATTCCAAAGGGTCATCGAATGCAGCATGATGGAAAGTTCTTTTTTACTCATTCTAAAAAACAAGAAGGTTGGAATTCTTACTCCAAACTGCTGAGGTCCACAGTTTTTCTCTGTGAACTCAAACAACCCACTGAATGGCTTGCTTTTAAAACCAGATGTCCCAAATAAAACTAGCAGAGTTGCATTATTTCCTTAATTGAGTACTTATTTCATGTCTGACAGGAAATGTTAAAATGCAGTAAGGGAGAGGGGATGGCTGAGCTGGAGGAGGCCTTAGCTACCATGCTGGACATTGTCAAGTCTGTCAATGACTCAATGCATCAGATAGCCATCACTGGATTTGAGGTGAGTAAAAAGAACATGGACAGACAGATGGAAGGATGATGGAAACAGAATGTGTGCTTATTGTTTCTACTAAAGGAGCGTTTATTTGAGAAGAGTGTAGTCATATTTTCCACAATGAAACAAAAATGTTTAATGTAATTAGACAAATTTTTCACCTGAACAGTTTATGCACAGGTACAGAATGCACTAAACTCTGGTACTATTTGGTCCTTTTTGTACTGGAATCTACAGAGGAAACACAGGAAGGCTAACTTTACCCGAGTTGTTCTTTGTCATATTATGTTTGACTGATGTAAATTTAGGCAATACCACACCATGTCACTGTTTTCTGTTCTTAAAAAAGAGCCACTTTTGTGCTCTCAACATTTCTCTCTTGAGTAATTTATATAAGTAAAACTGATGAAGGATTTAACAGGTGGTCACTACCCTAGCAAGCTAAAACTAAATACTGGCAGTAGACATTTGCCCCATAATCGACAAGTTGTTGGTTCAATCCCGGCTCCACACACCTCTGTAATTTCATTCTTACAGAGGTGTTGGAGTTGAGTGAACACCCTACTGGTGGGGGTCAGAGAGCCCCCATCAGCAGACTTGCTTCTGGCAGACTGCCCCAGGGCAGCTGTGACTACTATCAGGTAGCCATCAGTGTGTGAGTCTGTGTGTGAGTGAGTGTTGTCGCAGCCTTCTATTTCCAAAAACCAAAATTTCCAGCAAAGGCCGTGGATGTTAACAGTGATTTGCATGCACTTCCAATTTGATTGTTTTGTAAAAATATATATGATTTATTTCTTGCAAAAGTAGAGACAACATAATTACTAAAATGTCTTGCAACTTAGTCAAAAATGAAAAATAATCTCAATTTGATGTTTGAAGCTCTAAAAAGTGGTCAAAAAACAATTTCCATAGCCTCCAGTCAACACACCAGACATTTACCAAACAATAGACCTCCACTAAGCACCCGGTTTGTTCTTAATTACTCAAATTATTGGGAGGGACTGACAATTGTAATCTAAACAATTCCAAATATTAAAATTAATTACAAATTTTGTGTCTAAATCAATTTAGCATAAATGTGGTATAAAGAGGTTTGGGGCCCTCTTTACTTGATAAGGTGCTATACAAGTACAAAACCGTTTACCATCCACAAATGCCTAAATCCTGCCACCAGATGGGGAGCGAAAGAAGCTGGAAGAAACACCAGAGATAAGCAGCGCTAGAAGGCCTTTTAAATGATAAAAAATGTGAAAACATGAACCCAACACGAGACTGAAGACCCAACTGGACAGAAAGCATGTTAACTATTAATGGATCACACAGTCCCACCTGTTTCATTCATGAAGCTGAAGATTGTAGCAGCAGCAGAAACTCTTTCCTCCGGTTGGTACTCATCTTTACCTCTTGTGATTTCTACATTCCCATCAATTTCAACATGTTCTGGTTCAAATTGAAAAGGCTTAGCATTACTCATCACTGTTTTGGCTGGACAAAACTAGCGCAGTTGAAAATAATGTTGAACAAGTTGCATTTGTTGCAACATAAATCTGTCTGCTGGGTTTGGATTAAGTTCTGGAAAGATCTTTGTTTCAGAAGCTGTTTACAGAAATGTTACGCAAATGTCTTTGATTAGATGATGACACATGATTTTACTAATTAATGATGCTGCAGACCTTGAAAACTGTAATAAGGTTATGTTCAGTCTAAACCCTGCGAAACGTCTTGCTAATTTACAGGGCAACCTGAGTGACCTGGGGAAACTGCTGATGCAGGGATCCTTTAATGTGTGGACAGACCATAAAAAAGGCCATAGCAAGGTATACCCAAATACACCTATTTGAACCAGTCAATATGAAGGTGCTTTGTGTCTGTTTCTGACGTTTTTTTTCTTTTGAATTATTGTCTACAAGTTTTAGTTTGACGTTAAAAACACAACAAACTCTTCCTCCAACAAACAAGGCAAACTTCCTTAGGTTTAGGAAAAATGTGAAGTTAAAACTGTCTAATACTTAAAAGTTTCTGTAACAAAAGTTGCTATGACATGAGACAGGTTAGTTTTACCCTACTGATGATGTGATGTTGTAATAGTAATCCTACTGATTACTATTGCAACAACCATAGTTAAAAAAAAAAAAAAAAAAAAAAAACTTTAGTTGTTTTTTAAAAGCATGTCAGGACTAAAGGATTCAGTGTAGAACTGTTTTAATGCAGGAAGAGAAGGCTATTACTGCTAAGCTCACTCCCAAGAGGAACCCAGGCTAATAAGAGTCAGATAAGATTTTCAGGATTTTACCAGGAGTGATGTAAGAAAACTGTAATTAGAAATCATTACAGTTGAAATTTTAAATTGATAAAAAATAAATTAATGCCTTTTATGAGAGAATATGTTCCTGTAGCAGTTAAGAAAACTGAATTTTGCAGATAATGATGGATATGTAGTTTTTGTTTTTTTGCTTTCTGTTTAAATTAAAAAGTTAAAATATAATTGATGATTAAAATACACATGTAAGAAAGTAACAGACAGATTTGTGGGTTTCAGGTGAAGGACTTGGCCAGGTTTAAGCCTATGCAGAGGCACCTCTTCCTGTATGATAAGATGCTACTGTTCTGTAAGAAACGGGAGGAGAACACTGAGGGACATGAGAAGACCCCATCCTACGGCTTTAAGCACTCGCTAAAGGTCAGAGACAGAAGTGGACTAAAACACTTTGATTAGTTCTGTAAACTTGTTTCTTATTTCATTGATGGAGCCCAGTAATGTGTCCTGGAAGTACAGTTAGGGCCAGAAATATTTGGACAGTGACACAGGTTTTGTTATTTTAGCTGTTGACAAAAATATGTTCAGAAATACAATTTATATATAATATGGGCTGAAAGTGCACACTCCCAGCTGCAATATGAGAGTTTCCACATCCAATTCGGAGAAAGGGTTTAGGAATCATAGCTCTGTAATGCAGAGCCTCCTCTTTTTCAAGGGACCAAAAGTAATTGGACAATGGACTCCAAAGGCTGCAAGTAACTCAAAAGGCCTTTCCCTCGTTAACCTGTAATCAAGTAAGTAGTTAAAAGGTCTGGGGTTGTTTCCAGGTGTGTGGTTTTGCATTTGGAAGCTGTTGCTGTGACCAGACAACATGCGGTCAAAGGAGCTCTCAATTGAGGTGAAGCAGAACATCCTGAGGCTGAAAAAAAGGAAAAAATCCATCAGAGAGATAGCAGACATGCTTGGAGTAGCAAAATCAACAGTCTGGTACATTCTGAGGAAAAAGGAATTGACTGGTGAGCTTGGGAACTCAAAAAGGCCTGGGCGTCCACGGAAGACAACGGTGGTGGATGATCGTCGCATACTTTCTTTGGTGAAGAAGGACCCGTTCACAACATCAACTGAGGTCCAGAACACTCTCAGGGAAGTAGATGTATCTGTCTCTAAGTCAACAGTAAAGAGAAGACTCCATGAAAGCAAATACAAAGGGTTCACATGTAGATGCAAACCATTCATCAATTCCAAAAATACAGGCCAGAGTTAAATTTGCCCAAAAACACCTCAAGAAGCCAGCCCAGTTCTGGAAAAGTATTCTATGGACAGATGAGACAAAGATCAACCTGTACCAGAATGATGGGAAGAAAAAAGTTTGGAGAAGAAAGGGAACGGCACATGATCCAAGGCACACCAGATCCTCTGTAAAACATGGTGGAGGCAACGTGATGGCATGGGCATGCATGGCTTTCAATGGCACTGGGTCACTTGTGTTTATTGATGACATAACAGCAGACAAGAGTAGCCGGATGAATTCTGAAGTGTACCGGGATATACTGTCAGCCCAGATTCAGCCAAATGCTGCAAAGTTGATTGGACGGCGCTTCACAGTACAGATGGATAATGACCCCAAGCATACAGCCAAAGCTACCCAGGAGTTCATCAGAGCAAAAAGGTGGAATATTCTGCAATGGCCAAGTCAATCACCAGATCTTAACCCAATTGAGCATGCATTTCACTTGCTCAAATCCAGACTTCAGACGGAAAGACCCACTAACAAGCAAGACCTGAAGGCTGCGGCTGTAAAGGCCTGGGAAAGCATTAAGAAGGAGGAAACCCAGCGTTTGGTGATGTCCATGGGTTCCAGACTTAAGGCAGTGATTGCCTCCAAAGGATTTGCAACAAAATATTGAGAAAAAACTTTTTTGTTTGGGTTATGTTTATATGTCCAATTACTTTTGAGCTCCTAAAATGTGGAGTGTTTGTAAACAAATGTGTACAATTCCTACATTTTCTATCACATATTTTTGTTCAACCCTTTAAATTAAACGTTACAATCTGCACTTGAATTCTGTTGTAGAGGTTTCATTTCAAATCCAATGCGGTGGCATGCAGAGCCCAACTCACAAATATTGTGTTACTGTCCAAATATTTCTGGCCCTAACTGTATAACATCCCACTGTTCTATGAAGATGCGTAGCCCCTGCCCCCCACCGAACACGGTGGGGGGCAGGGATTTAGCACAGTTCACATAATGGAGGCCTTAGTCCTCGATGTCTCGGGTTCGACCCCTCTTTCCTGTCAGCCTACTTTCAAAAAAAATACAGAGAAAAAGGGAGAAAAAAAGGGGGGAAAAATTACAAAAAAGAAGATGTGCAGCAATGACAGCTCACTAGCAAACTACAATAATAGGTAATTACAGCAGTTTTCTGATCAGGTTGACTGCAGTAATGATAAACTTTATACTGAATATTCAAGTGTTTTTAAAATGCCAGACTAAGCAATCTCATTTCACGTTACAATTAAAAACAAATTGTAAGATGCAAGTTAGTTAAAAACAAACAAACAAAAAACCATAAAATGTACAAGAAGTCAATGTGAGAGGCTCATCCAATAGGGATTAAGAATGCCTTACCAAAGATCCAATCAAATCAAGATGCAGTGGTATTAACTGTGTCTCGGTTAATACCAAAGCAATAACTGAGACACAGTTGTGGAGAGATGATGCTTCAGAGGTCCCTAAGCTCTCAGGAATGTGTACCCCCATGAAATTTATTTTGGAATTATTGAGAAAGAGGCAAGTTTATACAAGACTGTGCATCTTCATGATCCCTTTCCACTCGTGTAAAGTAAGTCATAAACTGTGTGTTTATGACGTGAGGATGTAATTAGTTGAATTTAGTGAAAAAACTGATTTATTGAAAAGGCTCTGTAACACCTGATTTAAAGGAATGATCTTGAACTAGAAATACTGAAGAAAGGAAACATGGAGATCTCTAGTGGTTGTTATTAATAACTTGAACCTTGGTAAATATTCCAGTTATTAATAATATTGACAATCCTTATGTGTGCAGGCCAGGGATCATTTAGAAAATGTCAGTGTTACATTCATCCCTTTTTTCCTTTCATGAAACAATTAAAATATTAACTTAGCTTTGTCGGGATGCAAGCCCTACTCATCTCCCATCACTATTTACATCCAACTTTTGGGAGACATACCTGATGGTGGAGATTGGCAGTTGAAACTACTCTTACACAGTAACCAGCATACAAAGTTTAGCATTTATTTTTAACATTGTCTTTTTCACCAGTTAAACTAGTTGCAGATTTTACAGGGTGTTTCTGAGCTGATCTCTGTGATTTTGCTTTCAGTCTGCTTCAGGTTTGCTGTTATTACAAATTGTTTTAGCTCAAATCTGCATACATTATACAAAACATCTATAGATGAAAAACGTGTTTCCCATTAGAAGGAGGATAAACAGACTTGTGAACTTCTTATACCATGGCAATAATAAACAAAACAGCCAAACTGTCCTTTACAAAGTAAATGGAAAGATGAAGAAGTCTGGAGGTTTGTGACGAATGCTGATGAATATGACTGGTTTAACTGAACTGCAGCTCATGTATCCTTCATGCTTTCTTTTGTTTTGCTGTCTAGATGAGCTCTGTGGGGATAACAGAAAATGTCAAAGGGGACAACAAAAAGTTTGAGGTGTGGTATAATGGCAGAGAAGAAGTTTACATAATCCAGGTATGTTAGGAGTTGCACAAATTTTGCTTATGACATTTTTCAAAGTTTTGTTTGACTTTAGATGTGTAACTGAGGTAAAAAAAAAATTCAAATTAAATCCCCCTGGTGACTGTACTCAAGGTCACCAGGGGGATTGCAAATTTGTGGTTACTTGCAATTTTCATTTGCAACTGAAGTAATTTATGCACAATTTTACGTAAATATTTGTAAGATATTTCCCTATGTAAGCCCAGTAAAAAGTGCATGGGCAGTTGATATTTTTTGAAAAAGGTTGTGCAGATTCCATTTATCATATCAAAACTAAATTAAAGTCATTAGCCTGCTTTCTTCACAACCTTGAAAAAACCCTGAGCTATAAAATCTTTTCTACTTTATTTCAGAGTCAACAAGACAAACCGAATAATGAAAATTTTTTAATTACAACTTCATGACTGACAACTGCAGCTACGTCCGAGGGCTGCTTGTGCAGAGAGTGTTACTGCATTTTATTAACAATAAACCCACATATATTATTCTAATTTGCAGCAATAACTACAAACACTTAGTTGGCATTTGAATGAAGAACAAAAAAGTTAAGTTCCCCAGTTTTCTCATTTTTAAAAGTACAATTTTACTTTGAAAAACTTGTAAATCTACTCTATTAGATGCTGTTAGTAGATCTAAACAATATTTATATATTTTGTAATATAAAAAAGTGTCAAAAACATAATGATAAATCGAAGCAAGTTTAAATTTAGCCAGAAACCAACTAAATTCTAAGAGCAGGTATGGAAAATTTAATCATGTCTTTTCTACAGTTCTCCGCTGGAGGGCAGCGTTGTGCCATGCAGATTCCCTTCCAGACACAAATGTCACATTTTGGTGTTTTCAGGTTTTTGTTGCCAGTGTGCTTGATCTGTATGTATTGTAAATATTTTTACCCAAGGCTCCCTCAATGGATGTGAAGAATATGTGGGTGTCAGAGATCCGTAAAGTTCTTACAGGCCAGCTACAAGCATGCAGAGGTACATTCACACACCGACAATGGCTTACTTTGAATGTTTCTGTTCTTTGTTTATTAGATTTGATTTACATAGCTTCAAAACACTTGTTATACTGTTTTTTTAAATACTGACAGGTTTCTTTGTTGAACAATCAAGACAAACATTCCTCCAATTATTCCAGTTTCATATCAAACATTTTTTTAAAATCAGTATTTAGACTGGTCTACAGTGTGTGTGTGAGCACTGTAGCTGATCTGTGTTGGTGTGAGTTTATTATGTCAGCCACACTCTGTCATAGTGGACATGTGTTAGGTCTTTGTCAAATGAGCTTCTGCAAAATATAAAATTAGAACTCCTCAGTAAATACATGTTTGTCAGAACTGGGCAATAACATATGGTATGGAAAACATTATTTACAACATTTGCTAATTTACACTCAAAATGAACATTTATAATAAAATTAATCTTACCTGGTGCAATCTGGTTTTTAAAGCAGGTTCTAAGCAATATACTTAGATTCAAAGCAATGTGGGTGGAATCTTAGATAGAAAAGTATCTAAGGAAACTTTTCTATGAAGTTTATTTAGATAAAATTTTTTAAACCAACTTTAGTGTCATTTAAATTGGTGCTGTATGAATAAGGTGAACCAAATTTGATTTAATAATGGTCACATTGTGGCTCAAGACTAAAGTGGCTCAAATTTGAATTTTTTTTTTTAATCCAAATCTGAATTTAATATCAGTTTGAACAGCACAAATAAGATTTTTTCCAAATTGGATTCAGGACAAATTCTAGATTCATCCAAATCATCCTGAGTCTGAACAAACATGTCACATTACTTCCATTAAAAAAAAAATATATAAAAAAATATAAAAATTCCCTTCTCACCCACCGCGGGTGGTTCTTATCCTCTGAGCTCGGGTCCTCTACCAGAGGCCTGGGAGCTTGAGGGTTCTGCGCAGTATCTTGGCTGTGCCAAGGACTGCACATTTCTGGACTGAGATGTCTGATGTTGTTCCTGGGATCTGTTGTAGCCACTGCTCCAGTTTGGGGGTTACTGCCCCGAGGGCCCCGATGACCACAGGTACCACTGTGGTCTTCACCTTCCAGGCCCTCTCCATTTCTTCCCTGAGGCCCTGGTATTTCTCCAGTTTGTCGTGCTCCTTTTTCCTGATGTTGCAATCACTTGGTATTGCTACATCTACCACAACGGCTTTCCTCTGATGTTTATCCACTACGACAATGTCTGGTTGGTTCGCCATTACCATTTTGTCTGTCTGGATCTGGAAGTCCCACAGGATCTTAGCTCTGGCGTTCTCCACCACCTTTGGGGGTGTTTCCCACTTTGATCTCGGGGTTTCCAGTCCATATTCTGCACAGATGTTTCTGTACACTATGCCTGCCACTTGGTTATGTCGCTCCATGTACGCTTTCCCTGCCAGTATCTTGCACCCTGCTGTGATGTGCTGGACTGTCTCAGGGGCCTCCTTGCACAACCTACACCTTGGGTCTTGTCTGTTGTGGTAGATCTGGGCCTCTATTGCTTTGGTGTTTAGGGCCTGTTCCTGGGCGGCCAGGATGAGGGCCTCTGTGCTGTCCTTGAGTCCAGCTTTTTCCAGCCATTGGTAGGATTTACTGATATCAGCCACTTGGGTTATTTGCTGGTGGTACATCCCATGTAGGGGCTTGTCCTCCCATGATGGTATCTCTGGCACCTCAACCTCCATTCCCTGTTGTCTGAGACATTCACTGAGCACATTGTCTGTTGAGGCTTTGTCCCTGATGTATTTATGGATCTTAGTTGTTTCGTCCTGGACAGTGGTTCTCACACTCACTAGTCCTCTGCCTCCGTCCTTGCGGCTCGTGTACAGTCTCAGGGTGCTGGATTTGGGATGGAACCCTCCATGCATGGTTAGTAGCTTTCTAGTCTTAATATCTGTGGCTTTTATCTCCTCCTTTGGCCAGCTGATTATTCCAGCAGGGTATCTGATTACTGGCAGGGCATAGCTGTTTATCGCACGGATTTTGTTCTTGCCATTGAGCTGGCTTCTCAGGACTTGCCTTATTCGTTGGAGGTATTTAGCTGTGGCTCCTTTCCTTGTGGTCTCATCGAGGTTGCCATTTCCTTGTGATATACCTAGGTACTTGTAACTGTCCTCTATGTCTGCTATTGTTCCTTGTGGGAGTGAGACTCCTTCTGTGCGGATCACCTTCCCCCTCTTTGTGATCAGCCGACCACACTTCTCTAGTCCGAATGACATCCCAATGTCAGTGCTGTAGATCCTGGTGGTGTGGATCAGTGAGTCGATGTCTCGCTCACTCTTGGCATACAGCTTGATGTCATCCATGTAGAGGAGGTGACTGATGTTGGCCCCATTTTTGAGTCGGTATCCGTAGCCAGTCTTGTTGATAATTTGGCTGAGGGGGTTCAGGCCTATGCAGAACAGTAGCGGGGACAGAGCATCTCCTTGGTATATGCCACATTTGATGGACACTTGTGCAAGTGGTTTGCAGTTGGCTTCAAGCGTGGTTTTCCACAGCTTCATCGAGTTTGCAATGAAGGCTCTCAGAATCCTGTTGATGTTATACATCTCTAGGCATTCAATGATCCAAGTATGCGGCATTGAGTCATAGGCTTTCTTGTAATCGATCCAAGCCATGCACAAGTTGGTGTGTCGGGTTTTGCAGTCTCGGGCAACTGTGCGGTCTACGAGGAGTTGGTGTTTGGCTCCTCTGGTATTTACACCGATACCCTTCTGTGCCGTGCTCATGTGTTTATCCATGTGTTTGCTTATCTTGGCCGCTATGATGCCTGACGTGAGCTTCCAGGTTGTGGAGAGGCAGGTTATTGGTCGGTAGTTGGGTGGGACTGGACCCTTTGATGGATCCTTCTGGATTAGGATTGTCCGCCCTTCAGTTAACCATTCAGGGTGAGTCCCACTTTGTAGCAGCTGGTTCATTTGGCCTGCCAGTCGCTCATGGAGAGCAGTGAGTTTCTTTAGCCAGTAGGCATGGATCATGTCAGGCCCTGGTGCTGTCCAGTTTTTCATACCTGAGACTCTTTCTTGAACATCTGTCACAGTGATGGTTACCGGGGCTTGCTCAGGGAGGTTGCAGTGGTCCTCTCGTAGAGAGATCAACCACTGTGCATTGCTGTTGTGGGACGCCTCCCTTTCCCATATGCCTTTCCAGTATTGTTCAGTCTCCAGCCTTGGTGGGTCTGCTCTGTTGTTATTACCCTGCCATTGAGAGTACACCTTAGCTGGTTGAGTGGAGAAGAGCCGGTTAATCCTTCTGGATTCATTCTCCCTTGTGTATCTCTTTAGGCGGCTGGCCAAGGCTTGGAGCCTCTGTTTGGCAGTTTCAAGTGCTTCAGGTATGGGCATCTGCCTGTACTTTCTGGGTACTGGTCTTTTCATTGTACCCTTGTGGAGCTCTGACAGTTGGCTCACTTCCCTCCTTGTTACCTTGATTTTAGCCTCTAACCGTCTTTTCCATGGTGGGTATTGGGTCTCATGGTTGCTCTTATAGCCAAGTATCTCAAGGATCACTGATGCTGAGTTGTAGATCAGCTCATTGGTTTCTGTTATGGTGTTGGTAGGGATCGTTCTCAATGCTGCATTCACATTCTCAATGAGACTTTCTGATGGTACTTCACTCAGCCGTTGTAATTGGCGCCGAGGAGGCCTGGTTGTCATTCGGGTCATGATTCTCTCTCTCAGGTCAGCAGCTGTCTCGTTCAGCTCTGTTTTGCTCATTGGGGCCGTGTATCCCCTCACTGGGTGGGGACTTGTAGTTAAGTCCCCACAGTTCTGACATCCGGGTTCCTCCCTTTTGCCGTAGCATTTGTGTTGTATCTCGTCAATCTCAAGTTGTGATAGCAGTTGCCATTTGCGGATGTTGGAACACTGAGCTACTAGTTGTTTAGCGCTTAGTGTTGACTGGGGATGTCGAAGTAACCATTCCTTCCCCAGTCTTTGCATGTAACCTCTCTCACTAGGGTTACTTGAGTAGTAGCATTCCAACAGATCCACGTTTTCATCTCTCGCCCATTTCCGTCTTGTTCCAGTAGCCCATTTGCATTTGTCATCAAGGTGCTCTGGTTCCCCAACACCTGACGCAGACCTTGTTTGGCCGGGCGACGTCTGAGCCGGCATGTTACGCAACTTAGTATCTCTCATGGTATGAGGTAGGCAGTAGCTTGAAGGGTCTTGCCTAAGGACCCACACTGGATTCGAACCCCGCCCTCTCGGGTGATATACTGATGCCTTATGTATTGATATATATATATATATATATATATATATATATATATATATATATATATATATACGGTAATTATTTCAGCTTCAGTGGTTTTCATTTGCAAGTAATCTGATAGGAAGGGAGAGAAGAGAGAGGGTGAAGAAACTGAGGACAAGAGTGTTGAGGTGTGTGGTGGCTCGCTGTAACCACTGTGCCACGTGACGCCCCACTTCTGCTTTTTACTTCATTGTGATATCCTCACCATTTTCCTTTGAGGAGACAAAAAAAAACTGCAAGATAGAATGTACACAATGCTGGAAACAAGTTTGCTAGACAAGAAGTCTTGTTCAGACCTATTCATAATCATCCTGTTCTTGAGTGCACAATAGTTTCATATTTGATACAAACTTGCTGCATATTCAGCATCAATTAGATTTTCTTTTGTAAACACAGGAGTGCAACATCATCATCTCCTGCCATGTGAGTCAGTTTGAGACATTGACTCTTTACTCTGGAGGCTTAGGATGGTTGCAAAATCGTAAAATAATACAAAAACTAATTTAATAAAAAGTTGAATTGAGTTTTACACTCTGCAGAGAAGTTTGCCACCGTAGGAATGGATGTGGTGTCATTCAGACACCTAGCAAAATTTCAAACAAAGCTCCACAAGTAAATAACACAACTGCGAAGCATCATCTTAAGGCAGTTGTAATGTCTTTCCATATTTACATGTTTGTCTATTCAGTATATTCCTGTCAATTAATAAGAGAATCTGGTGACCTGTACAAAACAGATTTTGATCTGTTCTGGTGATCCATCCTGTGGCTGGACAGACCCAGCTTCATTGAATCTTGCATTCCTCTTCTACCCTGGATTCATTACAGTGTAAACAACACGCCAACATCCATTTAACAATATTTTATCTAATTAACTAAACAGCCTTCAGTATTTTTTCTGCATTGCTTTTACATCTGAAATAAATGTTTCTCAGCTAAAGTCTGTTATTACTACTAGTCATTCCCTTTAGTCCCGCTGGGTGTTCTGGTCTCACTCAGGGCAGAGGAGTCCAAACTCTTTTGCACAAAGAACCAAAATCCCTAAGTTGAAAGTATTCAGGGGTCAACATTTTTTTTCCCTAATGAAATACCCCAAAAACATAATTGTGATTTTTTTTTCTCTTTTACCTGCACAACAATAAATAGCAGGTAGTATTTAACATTTGCCTTGACATTTATAGTCATTTAATTTTCTGGGTTTGTTATTTTCCAGTTGATAAAATGTTTATAGTTTATTCCCCAGAAGGAAAATAAAAATGTTCTACAAACTTTTCTTTATTTAGCCAAAAATTAGGTAAAAATAATGACTACCTTTTGGGCTTTCATTATTTCTTCCATAATATAAATGGACTTCCAGTTCTGATGTTAGTGGTGTGAAGCTTTTTTGCTGCTGACAATAGGATTTTGTTGATTCAATAATCCATCTGCAAATTGCTATGACAACTGGTATATTACTGTGGTGGTTATCAAGAATAAAGACAAAGATGTTTCGTATCAATCAACTTTCTCCAAACTCAGTCCAGTCTCTGCAGCAGGACTACAGTTCTACTTGGTGGTCAGGACTGACATGAAAGACACACTCTGTTAGCTGCACATTTTAGCAACTGGCAACTTGTGTGTGTGCGCAGTGGAGTGTGTGTCCCTGTTCCTGTGTGTGAGCAGACTGCCTAATAGTATGGCAGTGCTGTCATGAAGCCCGCAGAGCCAAGGCTGCAGGAGGCTCAGGAGCCCCAGTGCAGTGAGCGTGAGCATGATTAACACCTCTGACTCAGTGTGTGAGGAAGCAGAAAGAGAAAGGGATGAAACTGGTGTGGGGGAGAATGAAAGGGAGGGCAGATTGAAAGTGATGCGGAGAGAAGAAAGGGGAAATTATGGAATGATGTGTGGAGAGAGACAAAGAGAGAGACAGCTAAAGAGAGGAACACAAAGACATTTCCAGGGTGGAGACGGAGGCTGATAGGAAACACAAAGAACCAACATAAAGGCTGAGAAGAAATAACCTGAAAGAGAAGTGAAAGACGTCCGTCTGATCTTTGTGTAAAGAGTTGCAGAAAAACTTTGTTATACTATTATTTATTATATTTTATCTCTGTTTATTTAGAAAGCTCCAATTTATAAGAGAGATCCTCCCAAAGCAGCTGATAAGACAAACAATGGAAACATGTCTGTTTCTGAATAAATTCTGACAGTTTGTGCTCCAGTCCACCTGTGTGTGGCAGAGGTCTCAGGTCTAACTGAGACCTCTGCCACACAGAGTCCAAACCATGTTAGTTTGCCTTCTCTGGCTTTATGTTGACATGGCTTTATTACAGCCATGTCAACATCTGATGAAATTATTGTCTGCGTTCCCTGGTTGATTCATTCCAAATTAGTAGATGAAAACCCGCATTTTCATTTTTTGAATATTATGCGACATTTCATAACTTTTGCTAAAGTTCACACGACAATTTGAGCAAAATAAAATTAGCTTAAAATTTAAGCAATTATAGCTTTCTCTGTAACACTACAGTGTCGCAGAAATATGAGGTCAGGTGTCGCTTCTATGAGGAGGAAGGGCAGAAAGAGGTTAAAGTTAATGACCTCAATGAATTCTGTTAATTCATAAATGGATAGTAGTAGGAAAAAGTAGCAAAGTGAGGAAAAGTTGATGGTTAATCATGATAATGATTATTGTTTAAATTAAACAGTCAGCACCTTATCACACATATGCCTTATGCATTTTAAAATAACTGCATTAAGATCAGAAATGGCTATTTACAACCGTCTCCATGACAACAAAACATGAGAATACATCTCAATGTAAAGCTGGCAAGTTATTAAATTCAAGCAACATTAAGTGATTCTAATGAGCAGTGAAGGCTCAAAGGAGTGATATTAATGCTGGGCTAGTTTAGAAACCTGAGGGTCAACCATCCAGACAACAGGCAGCATACAGAGTCTGCATGTTATATAGACAGGATGAAATCTCTTTCCATCCTATGTGATCTGTATTTGTACCCTAACAGCAACAGAAGTGGTTTCAGAATCTGAACCAAGGCAACTGAGGGGTTTGCCAGCATTATGCGACTTCTGTTGCCGCTTTCCCAGCTTGTGTTTCTAGTTAGAATTCAGTTCCAGAGGGTACCAGCCTCACAGGGAATATAATTGTGCTTGAGATATTACTTATTCAGTGTAGCAGCTCCACCAGTGCACTTCGATAAAAGTAGGAGCCAAAGAATAGCTGACAAATAAGGGCAGCAATATAAATAAAAACGGAATTACTTGTACTGTTTTATTACACCTTGTACATTCAACTCCCCAACATGATTGCCCGGCTTAACAGTCTCATCATTCATCTTTTGAATAGCAAAGTAATGTAGATTTGGCTGAATTAAGTGAGACAAGCTGTAAACATGGACGAAGGAACAAGCATGCGCCCAGCAATAAATCTCCCCTCATTCGCAGCATGACTACTCGTTTTAGGCACCCGTTGCTTCGTTCTGCTCCACTGTCTGCACATATCTCCAAATAATCAACCTTTATGAATAAAACATTGCTACGTCCATTCTTTTTGCTGAGTACAATGTTTAGAGCATGTTGAATGGTTCCATGCACAGTATGCATTTCTGTGACAAGCTCATTGGTTGCTTGGAATGGGAGGTAATAAGCCAGATCACTTGGTGCGACACTTTTGACTAAGGGCTAAAGTTTATTTCAGAGTTCATCTCCAGAGATTTCTTCTCCCAGAATGGTGTCTTGTAGAAAGTTGAGATTGTTTCTTAAATAAGAGGGCTCCTGTTAAAATGTTTGCAGTCTAAGGATGTTTCTCTACTGACTTTGGCATTGAGACCCTTTTCAGGACTGTTCAGAAAACTGCAAGATAGCTGCGTAGAACAAATAAATTTATCAAACAAAAGAGAGTTCTACAAGATTAGAGGTAATATATTTTAAATTGGTCACTAAATTGGTTTCATTTAAGAATGAAACCTAAAGTCATGGTTAAAAATGTTAATCCCTTAAATGATAAAATAGTTTGCACAAATGTAAGATATTAGTTTCTCAGAAACTTTTTTTTTTTTTTTTGATTAATAAGTGATGATGTAGTGAAATCTGTGGTTTTGAATGCTTGAGGTTACATTTCCATCAAAATGTATCTCTAACTGTTCAGCTTATTTACCATTTTCAGGACAAATAAATAAAAAAAAACAGAAATGGAATGAAAATGAAAGCAATGTAAGGAAAATGAAACATGAATACCATGCTTTTTTAATAATTTGCACACTGTCACACTTCTTTAAGAATAAAAAGAATGTACAAGGATGCTGACCTTTGCGCTGTTTGGTAGCGTTATTTTCTCTCTTCTACAAAAATAACTGCATGTTAATGGTTCAGTCTCTGATATTTCAGCCACTAACATTTTTATGAGAATTTCTTTACTTAGCTGCATAATCATGAACTGCAGAGCTCAACTCGGATAGAATTATATTGCACTTTGTTGCACGTAAATCTTGTTGTGAAGGCTCATATAAGGCTCTAAGAAAGTATAACACCCAAAACAATGTTCCATGACACAGCTCCAGTAAGGTGAAAATTGAGGCGCTTCTTGGGTGTCTGTATTTCTAAGCTGAACCGCATAAAGAGCATTTTAGATGCTTTGTTTAGACTACTAATTGCCGAGTCAGCAGTTTGCAACATTTGTAGTTTCATTCTAGAATATACAGAATTATGACAACTCACTGCAAAATCAAATGCTTTGTGTGTTGGATTCACAGAGGCCAGTCAGAACAATAGCCATGGAGTCCCAATGAGGTAAGTTTCTTTAATCGTTAGTCTTAACGATTAAAGAAACTGGATCATTATTTCTTATTGTGGCTAAACAAAGGCCAATGAAATGTCCTGTTTCAATTTTTTTTAAAAGTTCTTTCCGTCCCAACAGAAATGTCCGCAAGATGGGTCTGAGACAGTCAGATTCATCTAGTCCAGAGTCAGGATTCAGGAGAGCTAATCCGAGTCCCAACATGAGGCAGAAAAAAGGTCAGTGGTCCTATTAAATAAAAGTTCCTACCAACATTAGATTTTTCAATCTTTTATTGTTTCTTTCTTTATAGAAAGATGGATTTATACTAAGGTACTACTTTAACATGAATGCTAAAAACATAGTTTAGAAAAAAAGGAAAAAATGAGATTGGAATAATTTTTTTGGTGGATATTTAATACAATATTTTCAAATGAGTCCAAGAATACATTTTTTTTTTTTTGGTTTTCTATTACTCTGTCAGTCTGGTTTGTTGTGTGTTGGTTCTGGTTTGTTTTTTTGTAGACTTTTGTTAAGAATTTATTTGGTTGAGGCATTGCCTATTTGCAAAACTATTCTCTCTGAGCAGTGAAAGGATTTTGCTCCTGACTGCAACCCTAGTAACAAGGTGTTGTTTTTCCACCTGGGAACAGCTGATTAGCATTCCAAAAGCTCACATGACTGATATTAGACTATCATTTATAATTCATTCTAACCATACAGCCAGAGGAAGTTTTAATGAAAAGTGGCAAAAGCAAATGAGATGGATTGGCAGGGCTTCCTAACAACTGATGTCCAAGACAGGTAACTGAAAATTTTCAAACTAAATACAGGTTACCAGATTATAATATCATCTTTGCTACCTGGATGTTAGGCTGTTAGCATCTCTTGAAATCCAATGTTATCTTTTAAGTATATGGCTAGAACAGTGGGGTTGTAAGCCATTACTTCTCTTTTCTCAACTCTGATATAATAAAACACAGAAGTCTGTGTTCCCAAAATCCCTCTTAAATATCTTCCAGTTACACCTTTGCATGGATTTCTATCGACTCTGTATATGTTATAAAGTGCAGTCACTGTGTGTGACAGAAATGTTGGTTCTAGTTTCTTCTCTTCTACTCATGGATGTAGTGGAAAGAATCATCATTCAGCGTCTGCTGTGGAAATGCAAAAATTACCAAGGGAAATAAAAGTTCCTGAAAAACACCTTTCGTGTGCCATAGAGAAGATGCAACTTTTGGACCCTACACCAAAACACTAATCCATTGTCAGGGATGAGTTTAGGCCAGGTTTCTTTTGCATTTTTGTTTTTTAGATATTTTACCATGTTTGTGTTTCTGATATTGGGCTGTCAACTATCAAACACCAACCTTGTTGGTACTGGAATCTGTATTTGAAAATGAGTATAATGTATTGATGTGAAATGCAGGTTCTAAGCAAACACTGATAGTGCTATAACACTAATAGTCCACCGCTGAGGTCCAGTGCCAGGTCTTTGTCATAGTCTATCAATCACTTCACATCTTGAGGACTGCTGGTGATGGAACTTCCCTGCTTTACTAACTTTTCTTCCTTGCCGCCCAGCTGACTCTTCAGCCCACTCAGCTGTTAACACTCGGAAGCATTTCACCTTGCAGGGACTTTCTAACAGGAGGTCTCTTCCAGCAGGTAACACATCATCATTAACACAGGCATCTATGTCTGCACCATCCTCTTCATTGTGCCCCCTGTCTTTCCATCTTATATCTATATCTCATATTATTGTCTTGAACAGCATCTTTCTTGTTCTTGTTTTTAATGTCATCGTTTGTGTCAGGTTTATTCACTTAGACATTCTCACACACTGGAAAAAGAGAGAAAGACTGTTCAAGATTTTTACACTCAAAAGAACAAAGAGAGAAGCCAAAGACATGTCCATCTTAGTCTTTGAACCCACACTCTGAAGTATCTTTTCCTCGCTCTGCCTTTTATTGAAATTTGAGAACTCCAGTTACATGGATTAGCAGCTGTTAACTAGGGTAGGGGCAAACAGAAAACCCAGTTGCCCAAACACAGAGTCACAAGTCTTTATACTACCTGTCTTATACTTCGTGTCTTTGCATATCCGAGGTCTTAAGCGCAGTTCCCATAGTCTCTAAGTCTCTGTGTCTCTGGGTCATAAACCATGACCCAGTCTTTGATGTTTTCCCTGTCAGGCCATCTGCTTCCAATTTAGCAGGCTCATTGCCTCCTGAAAACATCTCACACAAAGGACACATTCTAGAAACAAAGAATCTCACAGTCCTTTAATTATAATGATGAGTATTGGTTATTAATTTAATCCTATCAGTTTGTCTTTGCATCCTGGAAAATAAAGGCTATAGCGTTTCTTGGACCTTACACATTTTACTAACTTAATGAAAAGTAATAAATGAGTGGAACACTTGAAGAAACGAGCTCTTCCCCATGCTGTATTATTGCCTATCATTTAATTGAAAATTAATATTAGAGAAAGCAGCGCACAAAGATAACATGGCTTAGTGTCTGCAGATGCTTTACTCACCTGTTAGGATGTGGGATGTTTGAAACTGAAGTCATCACTAGATGCCTAATTATGTCTCTAATAACTGTTTTACCAGTTGGAGACCCTTATAGAGCCTTGACATTTTTTATATGAACAGAAACCAAACAGTAACATCAACAGTAAGCAATGTCCCCTGTCATGACACAGCAAAACACTGTGAACTACACCCCACTCTCTGTAAAAATAAACTTTTTGCAAAGATAGCAACAAAAGCAAGACACTTCCTTCAGAGACATGGCAGGAAAGTCTGTTACATATTTTCATTCAGCTTTACATTGGCTTTGAAATGTTTACACACTCTGTGTTATTTTTAATTTTCACAAAATGCCCTTAATATCGGCCAAATTTAACTTATCGGATTGAGTTTTTAAGGTGATAAAAACAGCATTTAAAAAACTAGGTCAACAATAACAATAGTAGTAATAATAATAATAGAGATGCATCGATTTGTCGGTCATCCAATTTATCGGTGCTGATTTTCTTCATTTTGGGAGATCGGTGATTGGCCGATTTTTACATGTGAAGCTGATCTTATTCACCGATGTCATCTAGCTTGGCAAAGATCTAAGAATCAACCACAATCCTTTTTTGCTCTCTGGTGAAAATAGCTTGATTGACACCATGGCTTGATGTGCAGACACCAAGTCATGTCTGCACATTTACAATTAGCAATAGTTACCCCACTGTTGCGAAATCTACAACTTTCTTGTTATAGTGAGCAAAATTTCAGACAAAAAAATTGGTTTTGGCCAAAATCAGAATCGCCAAGTTAAGCTTTTTAAAAGACTGGCAATCAGCCAGAAAACTGTAATCGGTGCACCCCTAAATAATAGAAAACTATGCAGGACTTCAACAGAAAATACTGAGCAGTTAGAAATAAATGTTTTAGGCTTGTGATTTAAAGGATATGTAACTGAGTCTGACCATTTTCCACATTTTATGTCTTAAAAATATGTTTTTTCAGATAGAAACAAAACTATTCACGTTACTCTCTAAGCCTTTCCCTCTCCAACTCCGTTACAGTCATTTTAGAAAGATTTCATATTTCATATGGTTGATATATATCAGATGGCTGGTAACAAAATATAGAGATCTGATCTGAGAACTAAATGTCACCCTCTTGTACTCCAGCTGTCCTGACATGTTGAAGTGCATTCAGGGGCAGTGCCAACCTGTTTGGCCCTCTGAACGAACAACATTCAGAGCAACATTGATCCCTTATAAGCAAGGTGTGTGCGCACCATATGTGAGAGGATGTTCCAAGAACTCATGCCTCACTGGACATGAGTGATATGGGCGCCTGCCCATATCACCCATGTCAAATAAACCACTAGTCTAGCATTAACATTTTGGGAGGAAACCATTGCCTGAAATCAGCCCCAACATTGGGTGTCAGGTCATTTCAAGTCATGTGTTCCTAATTACACTAATGATGGGGAAAGATAAAGGTGTGGCGGGAGTTGAGATCAACATCCAACCCCATCTGACACATTCTATGGCCTGCAGAAAGAATGACAGTCACACTGCGAATTGAGTGTTTTGCTTCACCCTCTAATCACTACCAATAGTGAGGGCCACCTGCTTGTTTGAAGGGGGAAGTTCAAATCAGTCTGAGTGAAGTCCCAAGGTGACAGTCTTGTCATCTGATTGAAAACTCCCTTTAAGATAGTTGAAAGCTGCTCTTCTGTCATGTTGCGGTGGTGTTGCATCACAAGTTGACACTGATTCTGGCAAGTCCCACATCGGCAGCTTGTGAAGTGTTATACTTAGTCCCGACTTTATCGTGTTTATTGTGTTGCGATGTCTCCTTCAACTTGTCATGGATGTAAAATGTGAGAAACTTCTCAGAACAAGCAGTTCATTTGCATAATCTCAGCTGGAATTCCTTTTCTTTTACTGTTCAATTGTAATTTTTATGCCCCATGAATAACTTACCATTGACTCGTGATTTCTTGTCATTCTTCGATACATCAATTTGTTTTAGTCTCTTTTGTTGCATTTTAAGCTTTTACAACTGTATCCATGGAGACATATGTAAGATGTTTCAGTGCACATTAAATAATAACCCCTACATTACTTGTGTCCTCTCACACAATGTTTTTTCATCCCAACTTTGTCTGTTGTTTCTTTTGCTCTTTGCTTATGTGCAAACATGGATCTCACTAGCTGCCTTCTCTTACCTTTTCCTGTCCTTTCTCCTTCTTTCTTATTCTGTCATAGAACCCACTGTAAAAGAGGCAGAAGTCACTAGACGCTTCTCTCTCACTTCCTCTCTTACCTCCTCTTCCTCTGCCATGCGACTCACCAAAGGTACAGAGTTGATGAGTTTATGTGTTTTGTGTTAAGATTTTGCAAAACAAATGTGAGGTTAGCTACTTATAACTGACATGCTACTGACAGAAGAGGGTTGTAGCAGAGTGTTGCACATCGCTCCATAGCCAGTAAACACTCATACTGATGAGACATAAACTAGATGGGATTGAAATACTTTCTCAATGCCACCTAACTTTAAGATGTTTGTAGATTTCCATCAAATGAAGACTTTTCAGTACATGACCTTCTTTTTCTGACAAGAAAATGACTCAACATGATTTTCTTTTTAAAGATTTTTTTGTCCTTCGTTATAGTTGGACTAATTCTCCAGTGTGTGTGAGTCATGTGTTTTGTTTTGTTTTTAGTAATGCTCATTATTAAATGTGTAAATGAACCAAGGCTTCCTCTTTTGACTGGCCGATATTAAATCTGTAATATGTGAGAGGAGCTTAATGGATATTCCTGGGCTACCTCATACTCTCTCCTTTGTAATAGGCTAGTTTCTGAAGAAGTTTCTGGTTGCATCTTGTTTCCCAGGTCCCCTCTCTGCTAGCATTAAGAGCAAGAGACACGAGATAAAGAGTGATCCCACTCCATTTGGCTATGAAGGTATATGAAGAAACATAACATATTGCTGAGGCTTGATAAATGTTGTGATTGGTGGTGGCATTTTATGTTGTGGATGGTTGTTTATGTCTATACTTTTTGCCTGAATTGGGAATTTTGTAGTGCACGAGCATCAAATTAAGAGCAAACTAGATGAGATGTTTGTCGCTGCATGAGATTATTTTTATTTTATTCAGTTTGTGGGTATTTTGTGTAGTGCTGCTTTTTGTGATTGAACTGATCACTTTCCAACTGCTCCAACCTCGCTATGAAAGGAGTTTTTATTTGCTAAGGTTGGTGTAAAAGATTTGGCTTCCCTGCAGATACTCTACGTGGTGCGATGGCTGCAGGCGGAAAGCAGCAGTGCAAGACCAGCAGCATTGCTGGTGATGCTGGTAGCAAAACAGCTGTCCCCAGATCAACCTCACAGCCAGGTAACCACAGGACGCATGGAGATATTTGTGAGGACATCTTTTATCACTGACTTTAAGCTCTATGTCCTGACAGATTCATATCAATTCCCTGATACTTAAACTTTATGGTAGCCTTTCTGGAATGGTTTTATGTCAAATTGCTTCAAGTCAGCTATGTTAGCACCAACAACTTTCAGAATTTTTGAGTAGAGGAGTCATATGTTGAATGTTAGACTTTGGAATGAGTTGCATTGCCAATTTTTTTTTCAAATATAGGGATTTTATGTGCGCCTTATAGTCTGAAAAATACGGGACTAAGTTGAAACAAGATGTGTTTATTCAGAAGAAGCAGTGGTTTCCCCTGTGCTGCTCACCCCTTAAACAGTTTTACAGTGTGTTGAGGAAAGTTGCTTTTTGTGATCAAAATTATTTTAATTAACTAATTTATTTATTTATTTTTTTAATTTGTTGCTATTTTCTGACTGAACCTACATCTGCACTAATATGCAAAATGACAAGAGCTGTATCTGCTGGCTGCATCAGCCATCCAAATTAGCTGACAGTCATTCTGCCACTAATATTTAAAACTAAATAAAGTCTTCTTCGATAAATGTAGTTCTGCATTAAAATTGAAAAGTTTCATAAACTACCAATACGGCCTTGCTTCATATTGTAGGGATGTGTGTTTTTATGTTAATTAGTTCCTGTGTTGTTGTGTCTTTTCCATGATTGCCCTTTCCCCTGATCACCTTCCCTGTGTATTTATCCCACCTGTGTCTCTTGTTTGTGCTGTACCCTAGTCTTAAGTCATAAGTTGTTGGTCACATGGTTTTGTCAGTCCTGTTGAGTTATTAACAGTTACTACCAATGTCAAAGCTATTGCCTTCACTCACCTGTGCTGCCTGGACCTTGTACTCTTCTGGATTTCATTAAAACCATCAATTCACACCACAATCTGGATTCACTGCATGTTTATCCTCACTAACAACAACCTCAAATTGTGACACATATGGCTAAAATGTCAATTTTAATATCATTTCCATTGCTATGGTCATTGTCTGACTAGCTGGGAGCCTTCCCTTTGGGTCCTGAGTGTATTTGTTCAGCAGATTAACTTCTGTTGATTCTCAGCTGCAGGCTCACACAACCCATCTTACCTTTCTAAAGCAGTATCCCCCCTCATTTGTAACATTTGCTTGAAAAGCATTAATGTCTGTTGGTGTGTCATTAGGCTGGACCCAGAGACGTCTCCTCTCCATGGACACAGAGGACTTTGAGACAATTCCGTCCAGCGGAGAGGAGTCCTCCAACTCTTCTGAGGACGAAGCCAACAATAAGAATGTATGTGACCTTAGCTTAGCTTAACTCAGCATTATTTATAGTAGAATGAAACTTAAAGAATTATAAGGTGAAAACATTTTTATTCCAAATGTAATTTTATATATATAAAAAAAGTAGCTTTGAGGGACTCGTTGTTCAATTGTTGATGCTCGATAGCTCTTGCATAATCCATTACATTTTTCCAGTCAGTCACCATCATCAGTAGGTTTCTCATTTCTTTGAAATGTATCGCAACCTCCTTAATTTGGACACCTCTACTGCTTAATTAGTTCCCTAGACGTGTGTCTTCTTAGCAGCAGCAACTGACTACTTGACATTTAAGAAATGAGGGAGGAATGAAGGGCTGAAGGGATTCTACCGGCATACATCTGGTGCTAGGGTCTGCAGCCTGTGGCTCTGACACCACATGTGGCTCTTAAGACTCTTCTTTGTGAATCTTAATAACTTTGTTAGACAATGCTAAACAACCTTTCTTTTAATCTAAACGTAATTAATAATGTTAGTTGAAGCAGTTTTTCCATGCAATTTATGCAAAAATGTACACCAATAAAGTAAGAAATATTTTTGCTTGTCTTTTGATTGCAACTGTAGCCTTTTTTGACATAATTCACAATGTAAATTAAATGTTTCATTGAAGAAATGTATTTAATCCCTTTATATAAAAGTTTGATTTTCAATATTTTTTAAAACCTAAAAACAAAATAAATTTTTTTAATTTAAAAATATGAACACATTTCCAATAGCAGATGTAAAAATAATTAGTTTCATGTAGCTTTTGTGGCTCTAACTGAATTTTGTTAACCTGGACTAAATCTGGGTTGCAAACATTGCTGACCAGTGATGGTAAACATGTTGTCCTTTCCTAAGTCAATAGAATTCTTCTGAGTCACATAAGAAATCTACACATATTGATGTCCTCGGATGTAGTGGTTCATTCACTTTTAAGCTTTCAGTCAAATGTTTGCAATGAAAGCTAAAGTAAAATCTTTTGTATATTATACATTTCAAATGTAGGCATGAATGGGAAATCTTAAAGGAAAACAACATATTAAAAATTTGGGAGTGTCTGTTTAATACAGATATTGTTCCTGCATTAAAAAAGATTCAAACATGTTGAAGCCTTGATAAAATTCAACTTATTACATCATGGATGTGGATGAACGGATGGATGGATGGACTGACTGACTGACTTTTTGCATCGCAGGTGTTTCTGTCTTTATTCAGTGTTGAATTCAGCTGGATCAGTTTTCATCAGTTTGTGGTTTGTGCTGAATTTGACAGTCATATGTTCCTGCAGGGTGGCAGCAGCCGATACCAGGTGCAGCTGACATACGCGTCATCTGAAGCAAAGGACCTCCAGTTTCTGGAGGAAGGAGAAAATGGAAACTGGTAAATTTACTCCAGTTCAATGAATGTAAAAGTGTGTCTTTTCACTTTTTACCTTTGCAAAGCTCTCTAGATATTTTTATTCTACATAAAGTGAACAGTTGTTTGAACCCATCCTAATTCTGCAAGTGTGCTTAATTAGCAACAGAAGCATCATCTCTTATGGTAGGTTATTTTAATGAGGGGAGACAACATATCAACACTAAAAGGTTAACAAAAATGCTCTTCATCAAAAGAAATAACTTATTAAACCAAGACAGCATAGCACAGAGCCAGGGGGAGGAGGATGAGCAGCTGCATGGGATTGTGATTGACAGCACCAAAACTCTCCTGCCACTGATTGGTTATTTCTAAAAACAAATTTATAAATGTTACATTTAATTTCTCTTAGGAGAGGCTCATCAGGAGGGACATGGGTCAGAACTGCTGCTGACTGACTCATCTGTTGTTAAATGTGGTAAAAAAAAATACAGGTGCAAGTTAAATATATGAATATGTTGGTAATTTCGTTGCTTAATTCATTAAATGTTAGTAAGATAGAGGCAAGTAGTAGTCTGCAGCTTAGCTAACTGCTGAACGGTTGATAATCTCACACAGTCTGCCCACCTCTCTGACAAAAACTGGGTTACAAATTGACACTTTTACCTTTTTCTCTCTGTGTCTCTCTATTTTCTGAAAACCTTACTTTATTATTTTTCTGAACAGCATAGTAACTGCCTCAGTCGTTCTTGTCTTCCACTGACTGCTGCTGAACACCGTCACCATCAAGCTCTCCAAGCAGGGACAAATCATGTCATGCAGATTCAGGGGGGTTTCAATTTCCCCTATTTTTTTTATTTTTATTTTTCTGAACGACAACAACAACAAAAAAATTGTGGTGGGCCCCTTGTTGGTCAGGGGCCCTTGGAATTGTCATAACTTTTCCCCCCTATCCGCACCCCTGTCTACTACAGCTCCTGTTTTTTTTCCTTTGCTTATGTTTCAACTGATATGCTAGAAAATCCATTCTTTATTCATCTTCAGTGTCTTGTTTGAGGGACATTGAAGAGCGATGTTTAAAGATTATTGTTGAATCGGGCAGAGAAAGCAGAAGCCACTCCGTGCTACCTCAAAGCCTGGACGTGCACCTCTGACGTTTTGTTGCTCAGTGATTATTGTATGCACCACCACTACAAAAACTGGGCGATATGGAAGGCATTTTGGAGAGCAACGTCCCTTGCACTGGCATTCTTATAAACCCTCTATTAAGACTCATTTTCAGAGAATACAGCTCCAACGACCCTGTAACAATAACAGCATATTGCTGTCTTGTCTATCAAAATTCAGCCTTACGTAAATGACCCCACTTATTGGCTTACGCCACACTTGTCAGAAAATGCCTGTAGATGTCTTCACATCCATGCTTGACTCCAGGGATGGCAGTGTTATGCCTTGTTTCCATTAGGTGGTACAACATGAGTCTCTGCTGTTTGATACTCAATTTTGGTGAGATTCTTTCATTTTCTTAGTTCGGCTTGAGCTGAACAATTGCTCAATCTTTATTGGAATATCATTTGTTTCATGTGGATTTACAATACATACAAAATACTACTCTACAGTTACAAAAGTAGTGTTATGGTATAAAAACAAAAGCACACTTGTACATGAAACTTTGTAGCAATTGGCTACTTGACTGAATAAGGTGATTTAGTTTTATTTTTGTTGGGACAGAGTTTGTTGTTGGAAAAAGAACAGACGTGCCTTAGAATAGACATCCTCAAATCCAGGCCAACGAGAGCCCTGCAACTCTCCATGGCATGTTGTTGGACCTGTGTCCATGCTCTAACACACCTGAATCAAATTGTTGGATGATCTCCTTAGTCCTGCTAATGATTTGATTTTCTAACTTAACACGTCTCTGTGTTGAAACAGACGTATGTTAAAATGACAGGACACCAAATCTCCTGGATTGGAGGACCCCTGCCCTACCAGTTGGAGGTTTGTTGTTATCCAATATGGCTGCCTCACTTATAAAACTCAGCAGTAGTTGAAATAGATGCACAGGAGTCTGACAAATTTGATCACATTAATGAGCTATAATGAAAAGGAGGAAGGAACAGAGCAGCAACTTCCCTCTTCAGACCTTCATAACTATGATCAAGCAATCTGACACAATATTTGTTTTTAAAGGTCTCCAATGCAAATTGTGGAAGGCGAGTACAACAAAGTCACTTTTAATGAATACTTAATCTGTTTCCTTCTAAGTGTACATGTTAGCTTGTTCATAGAGGCTCTGCCTCTATGAACAAGCGGTGTCTGGAGTCTAGCTGAAAGACTGTTTTGGGCTACATGGACTTGGAGGGAACTGATACTCTGTTAGATAAAAGCTTGACTTGTTGTAACTATTCTCATTTTTCATCAGCTCATACATATTTCAGCTCTTAAGACTGTCTCCTGTCGTCTTCATCTATGGGCTTTTAAAAGGTCTCTCTCACTCGTACTTGTCTTGCCTCCATGAGGAGCATGAAGAATTCATAAGTCCCTCTATTCCGTGGCTCTTTTTTTTATTGAATCAACTGAAGCGGAACTGATAGTGCTCTGCTGTGTGCACCAAACTTATGCTATCCGCATGTGGAGAGCTTTCTTCATATTTTTTTGTTTTCCTTAATATGCTACTTGTGATTCGGTGTGTTTGGGTGTATATACACTACAGAAGCCAAATTAAACATATGCAGTGTTGTACATCCAGTGTACTCTGTGTTTGCTCCTGTAACTGTAGGTTGATATACATATATGTACATATCACATATCACTAACCCATTCAAACACATTGTCGATACTAATTTACAATATGAGCCAAATAGAGAAAGACTTACATCAAAGTCATGCACAATTATTGAATCTTCCTTTATATTCAGAGTGATGTTGATCTGAGGGCTGAGGCCTGCTAGTGGCTGAGTGGAGGAGGCAGCAGAGCGTACACTAATGATGCATTAAAACCTTAACCTTCTCAAGCCATATGAAATTGTCATTAATTCACAAAAGGTCAGTGTAGGGAAAAATGTCTGCACCCACATTTGCATGTTCTCTGGCTTGAAAAGAAAGGCCAAGCTAAATTATAAAATTATTTCTTGCAACAAATCACCTCTAATTTTCACCTGCAACCATTTTCAGCTCACTGATTCTAGTTTAATAAGGGAACTTAAAGCATGTTTGGGTTTTCTTTAAGAATGTTGATTGGATCAGATGTAATGGTTGGTCATTATTATCAGAGAGTCTGTGCTCTTACAACGACTTAACCACACCCAAAAATCTGGTTTTGGTGAATGCCAATTGAATCCATTGTCCTGCTACATAATACATTCTGCTAGTAAAGTTAGATTGTCACCACACAACATGATTTTTTATTTTTGGTAACAAAGAGAGATTTTAACCATTTAGCTCAGAAGACTAATTAAAAATGTATAATCCTAGGCTGATGGATGGATGGATGGATGGATGGATGGATGGATGGATGGATGGATGGATGGATGGATGGATGGATGGATGGATGGATTTTCTTGTTACGATCTGTTCACCCCCCTCAGCTGCCGCATTATACTTAGAAAGTAATTGGTTACAAGTTATAGTTTCTTTAATCAAAGGCCTCCATATAATCCAGTATATTTCACTCTGCGGAGGGCCATGCATATTTTAGGTGGACTCAAGGTGAACATCTGTGCAGATTTACCTTTGCGTAAATCTGTACAAAGGTAAATTTTTCAACTGCGTACATTTGGTTAAAACGATTGGAAAACGATTGCTTGCTAGAGGCATGGACTGTGTTGCAGTCCATGCCTCCAGCAAGATTAGTTTTTACCCAATTGCTATTGTTTGGCCTTGATGTGTAATGTGCCAGCTCGATGCAGCTTACCGGAAATTGTGTACGCTGTAAGCAACCCAAGGAGTAGGGCCATTAAATCTTTGCCAGTATTAAAATGTATTAAACATTCTCCTTGCTTGGAATTGAATTGTATTTGAAAGCGTTGACTGAATGGCTTTGTTTGCTTTCCCTGCTACCATTGATAAGCTGCAATCCTATAGAGGGATTATTTGTTTGTAAACACAGCAGATATATATGCATCTTGACTGTAGAAACAGTTGCTTTAAATGCTCACTGATTGCCAGAGTCACCCACATTTATTTTATTGCTTTAACATTAGCTAGCATGTTGTCATACTACTACAACAGTTTGTCACAATGTGATAAAATATGTTATGTCACCAAATTGACATCAGTGATTCATCAATGACCCATATGGTGGGAATTGGTGTTCAGATCGAGCTGTTCCGTGTGAAGCATTGAGCCAATACTGATGCGTTAGCGCAAGCAGTCACCAGAACACGCAGAGTGACTGTCACTTTGTGCCCCATCATCTGTCTAACCTGATGGGAAAGAAACCGGATTAACTTGCTTATCAAACATGCTTGTATCCATTTGGATTGTGGAAAATTAACCATTTGTTACTAGAAAAGTAGAAAACACTCAACTTTGAAATCTCAACCATCTGCGATAAGTGCAGAGAATCTGCGCTGCTCACATATTATGCACAATATACCCAAGTATGTGGGAAACTTTAGTATTGAACTGAAGATTGCCATTGCTATAATTGTCTTTGTTTTCAGTGTAACTCTCATTTTATCTCATCTCAATGTTTGTTTGTTACAGTTCTAGGGCAGTTAGTGTGGCTCTGTGAAGATGCTTCATATGATAAAGGTTCGGGATGGGATTTATACAGAATATAAACTGTGAAAAGTGTTATTGTTTTAGAGCTACTCCACTGTCTCAGTGAAGACCCTTCTCTTTATTGTGTTCTATATTCTAGGCTAATCAAGAACCTTTTAACAGAGGGGCCAGGGCTGGTCCTTTGCTCTACACTTCAAACACCATCTAAAGGAGGTCACTCTATTAAATAACAATACTGGCCACTTCTGACTAACTGCCAATGGCTTTACTCTAACACCCACTCATCTTCTCCTGTCTTCCGCCCTTTACTCCAGTCTCATAATTGCTTCCTCACTCTCCAGTGGCACTGAAGGAAATGGATTGGGTAAATGTGAGCAGACCAGTGCTGCAGGGATGGGAGGAAGCAAATAGCTTGTGGATAGGAGGTTGAAGTGTGGGGGAATGGAAGAGCTTTGGAATGATGCGTTGAATTTTAATGTCACTGAATCCAGCCTGTTGCTTGAAATATGCATATCTTTTTTAAACACTTCATTTTAAAATTTTATTTTTTATTTTTACATAAATGACAGACAGATATAAGACAACTCTAACAATACATACCACCTAGTGGTAAGTCATACAAACATTCAATGAGGACAAAACCAAATGTATATAAAAAACAAAAATGTAGCTATGATTTATAAAAAACACAATGTACAAATCCCTGTGTGTGTCTGCATTGAGGAAAGCTATCATCCAGATTATTAAAGTGACGAAGTCCTGGGAAGATAATATGGGATTATAAGTTACTGACAAAGCGCTGGAGTCTTGCATCTATTCCTTTGCAATGCCATATTTTGACGCCAGAAAGAGGATTTGATGTCATAGTGGCCCAGATAAGCGGCTGTTTAAAAACAGCTTGAGACCAAATGAAGATCAAGTTTCTGACCACCACAATTAGAAAAAGCTGAACATGTCAGAGCAATAGATGAAACATGGGTTGGCAGTAGAGCTCTGTAGCAGACCAATGTGGACCATAAATATTTTCTGAATATTTGCTGCTCAATAATATGAAAATTTAGGTAAGGCAAGGCTGAGCTTCCATCTATAAAAATGTGATCAGCTCATCTTTTTCCCCCTGACACATTTCTGTCTGTTTCAGATGTGAGTAACTTCCCTCTGTGTTGGACTATTTGATAAATTTATAGAGGGAGCAGTTGTAATGTGATAAAATATAAAAGAGATAAAGGGGTGTGATCATTTTTATAAAGTACTGTATTGATGTAATTTCTCTGTGTGAAAATAGACAGCAGTTTTCATTTTATTTTCTTGCCTCCACCCATTTTGAGCCCACTTCATGTCTTTGTAACAAGGTCTGTTTAACAAGGTCAGATCTCCCTCCATTGCCCATTGTTGCGTTATGAAAGAGTAATTATTCACAGCCTTAATGTTTACCTACGTAAAGTTCTGGTGCTGTCAGACTTTGGAAGAGAAAGCAAAAACAAAAGCAGCAGTCAGAAAATTAAAGCCTTTACCTGTTTCTGTCATCATTGGAAGCGTCATGTGGTGATAACATTAAGAAGGAAATGTATTCTGAAAATTTAATAAATATTAAATTAGGTCTGATGAGATTTTATATATATATATATATATATATATATATATATATATATATGTATATATATATACATATATATATATATATATATATATATATATATATATATATATATATATATATATATATATGTGTGTGGGGGGGGGTGCGTGTGTGTGCATGTGTGTGTGTAATACAGTACAATAATAGTACTATATTACACTAGTAATATAGTAGTATTACTTGTGTAATTAAATTAAAATGCTATTTTTCATTAAAATGATCTTGCAGCATGAAGGCAGTGGATGTTCCAACTAAAGCTTGCTGTCATGAAGTGCGGGTGTGGAGGTGGTGAGGCAAATGCGGTGGAACCAGGTTGAAATAAAATTATGGTTTTAATGATGAAAAAAGTACAAAATAATCTAAAGTTCAAAATTCTGACAGCACTGCTGAGCGGAAGACGAGGGCTTAACACAGGTAGCAACAGGGTTTACAAATGGACAGAATAGACAGACTGGAACAACAAACGACTTGGACCCGACGAGGAACAAAGAATACAGGTGGGGTTAAATACACAGAGAGTAATCATGGAAACGAGACACACCTGGGAATAATCAAGGTGAGCCAGAACAACACAGACTCAAAGACACAGAAAACTCAAACACAGAGAAAAGCTCAAATCATGACATTTGCTGTCACTCAAATCTGTATGATGTGAGTGTTGGTCTTTGCTATGTGCTACACGGCGCTGAGCCACCGAGGCACAGATGACCTGTCAGAACTGACCCTCCTCTGTCTTGAAGTACGTCCAGGACTGCCAGGTCTGCTAGTGATTCCAGTTTTCCAGAAAGATTGGTTAGCTTTTTCTCACCTGAAATGAGGGAGGTGTTATTGAAATTTTCTGTGACGAAGTCCTGCGAAGATATTATGGGACTATAAGTTACTGACAAAGCGCATAACATGTGTTCAGGGGTCCTCCTTTACACATGTTATGGTGATAAACTGCTTCAGTGTATCATTTGGAGTCTTCATGTTATTTATTTGATGTTGTTTTTTATGACTTTATTCAAGTTAAGTTTGATGAGATCACAGTTGGGATTGTACAACCAAAAGGTCATGGTATGTACAGTTAAGTTCATAATTATTCATACACCTGGCAGATTTGAGTTTCAAATAATCTTGATCAACATGTTCCCTCTAAATTAAAAGTAATAAAGGAGTGGTGTTCTAAATTTTCCAGGCACATGATCCCACCTTGATTTACAGTCATGTAAATCATGTAAACTTTTTGGCATGGCAGAATGGTTGCCATGGAAGATTAAAGGATTTTTTAAATATGCATAAAGCAACACTCATGTTTTTGATGAAGGAATAACACTACAACATGACATAAAGCTCAACAATGTTGACAGTACATCAATGTCCTTTAATATTTTTGAGTGGCCCAGCCAGAGCTCTGACTTGAATCTGATAGAGAAACTTTGGAGGGAGCAAAAAATTAGGGTGATGGGAAGGAGGCCTTCCGACCCTGAAAACATGGAGCTCATCACCACTGCCTAATTAGAGGGGCGTCAATATAGTTAGACAGCCCTTTTTTGTTTTATTTAAATATACATAGAAACAGAGTAATTTTTACTGATGATGTTCTTACATTGTTTTATGTCTTGAGTGAAACAGTCTCATTTCCTGTCCGGACCAAACTTCTTGACTCTAGTGATGACAGATCAGACTGCTGGAGGTAGGAATAATCTGTGTCTTAAATGTAGAAGAAAACTCGCTTGATGTTATCTGCATCGGATTCTGCTGATCAACTTATTTCTTAGGTCAATCAGGCACTGAAAGATCCTCGAGTGTCTCTGCTCCCTTTGTGCTGCTGCCGTCTTTGCCTTCAATTATAAAAAAATGTGCCACACTCCTTCCACAGTCGCCTCTCACTGTAATGGGTCTATTACTGCCTCCAGGGTGGATCAGAGGTGAAATACTGGAGGAAGAACTTTTTTTCTCCCATCCCCTCTCGAGAATTTTCAGCTGGTCGTGATGCGTAAAGAGCATATAGATCATGGACTAAAAGTATGATCTAAAAAGAACTGTCTAGATTTGGATCAGTCACAGCACTGACTGATTTCCCCCTTAAAACATCCATTTCTATTTGTGTTCTTTGTTTCCTCTGTCTCTAACAAATCCTCCTTTACCTGCTATTAAGCCTGAACCTGGTGCCTGGATGATTACTTTAGACGTTTCATTTGTTTTGGTGCTTTGACTCTAAAAGGACTGCTCATTCTTTCTCCTGTTATTTGCTTTTGTTCCTTGCTTGCCGTTTCATATTTATTTGAAGCAAACTGACCTCTCTGGATAGCAGTCGAGCTTCACTGTATTTGGAATTTATCTTTTAAATTTGCTCTGCTGCCTGTGATGACTACTCCTGTCTTGTGTTGTGATTCCTAAAAACAACCACTATAACTGAATGTGAACCTGTGTATTTCTCATGTTTCATCATTTTGCTCACTATGAAGTTGAACTGATTGTTTTTCTCCCTGTTTTCCCAGATATCTTCAGTGATCTGTGTACAGCAGCACTCTTTGAGTCTGAAGAAAACAGCATCAGTACTTGGGAAGATGTATCTCAGGATTGCAAATAAATACCAGTGGACTGTTGTAATCCATTTGACTTTGATCTCAGACATTGATCAGCTTAATAACTGCAGTCTTCAACATGTAATTTAAAAGGATTAGATCTACTTGTACTTCTTTTTAATGGACTATAGATATGCATTGCTCTTATTGCTGTCATTTTTTTTGTTTTATGTACTGATGTTTCTCAGTGAGACTCCTGGAGGAAGAAGCTGGAACTTTTTCGAGTACCACTGTTAGAAAGCCTTCTCTTGTATTTTTAAAATCATTTCTACTAGGGATGCACAATGTATCAGCACTAACATCAGTATCGATTGATTAATAACTTGATTATCAATTTGATAAATCAAACTTGGCCAATATTCCATCCATCCATTTTCTAATGGGGTCGGGAAGTGCTGGTGCCTATCTCCAGCTATGTTCCAGAGGCGGGGTTCACCCTGGACAGGTTGCCAGTCTGTTGCAGGGCAACAAAGAAGCATACAAGACAGACAACCATGCACACACTCACACCTAGGGAGAATTTAGAGAGACCAATTAACCTGACAGTCATGTTTTTGGACTGTGGGAGGAAGCCGGAGAACCCGGAGAGAACCCACGTATGCACAGGGAGAACATGCAAACTCCGTGCAGAAAGACCCCGGGCCAGGAATCGAACCTAGAACCTTCTTGCTGCTAGGCACCAGTGCTACCAACTGAACCACTGTGCACCCCTGGGACAATAAGTAATATTTTTTTTCTATCTTGTCATTTGTTTCCGGACGGGAGAGAAGGACATTGGTATTTGTTTGGTCATGTAATAGTAATGTTGATGCAGCAACCCTCAAACAGAGAAGCACTGGGAAAGTCAGGCATACACAGTACTGGTTATTATCCATAGCAGCAATATTAATATCAGCTATTGATATTGGACCAAATGTTCATACTGTTGCATTCCTAATATTTACTTCCACTGAGTGGAGCGGCTATATATAGTAAGCATCCCATAACTTCAGATTTACGGTCTCTTCAGAAACTATTCAGAGCCCTTCACATATTGCACTTTTAAAAATTATTTTTTAAAAATGTTGTTGGTAAAATGTGCTAACTATGTGAAAAGATGAAATTGACATTTATTGACATCAGCAAATTTTCTTGAAGTTGCTTTCTTCCGCTCCTCGAGCTGCTCTTTAATCGCTTCTGTTGAAAGAAGGAAATAACTTCTCCATAGTAGGAGAGCCTGTTCAGTGGTCCATCACAAAAACAAGTATCTTGGTAAATGCCTAAGTATTCAGTGTTTTTTTTTTTATTACATCAAAATGTTTTGCCACACAGGTCAAAATTATGAAGTGAAAAGAACATGTGGACCTCCAAAAATGTACAAAATCCAGAAATGTGACTTTTATTTTTACCCAACCAGCAAACTAAAAATGTACCATTTTAATGAATTGAATTAAAACATTTGTAGAAAACGTATCTACAAATCAGTGTAAATCTGAAATATAAATGGGGTTCTTGCTCCTCTGATCTGCCTGACTCAACCCTCTGCATTATCTAGGAAAGGCACCAGAACAAAGAAAAAAAAAAAAACACAAAAAATGTGTATTTTGTGGCTGCATTGTCTCATTAGACAATACACATGTGAAAACAAAACTCTTAATATCATGATTTCAGTTTCTCTATGACTTGTTAGGTGAATATTATTGTGATTGCATTTAGTCAACAACTTAAGAAATCTGAATATTTCCTGAGGAGACTCTTTTGACTTGCATTTTTTCACATCAGTAAAAAATTAATAGCTACAGAATCACTGCAAAATACATACATTACTTTAACAACTTTTAATATAAAATATCTTTACTTGGTTTTACATAAGTGGACGTCCTGAAAAAACATGTAGGTGATAAAAACTAATGATTTTTATGTCACTCAGGGGCAATTTTTACACAGAGTTAGTTCATTGGGGCTTGTTTAGTGTGTTTTAGTTAATTATTTTTCAACTTCTTTTGATCCAAGGTACATTGTTTTCATTGAAAGAATCACAAACCAAAAATCTAAACAAATGATCCTCCATAGCCGCATAAATTAAATATATAGCAATTCTTATCAAAGTGTCTTGAATAGGAATCAAATGAACACAAAAATTTCTTTTTTTAATCATATTTTATATTAGTTATTTCAAACTGCACTTAACATGTCAACTTCAAAAATTTGCCTGTACAGAGGCACAACAATTACAAGAGGTTTAAAGAGGTTGTAGAAAAAATATAGAAAATAATTCTTATTCTGAGAGAAGCAATAATATTTGGAAAAGAAAAAGCTCACAGTATTTGCCCTCTGTTGATATCCACTCATTCTAGGGCCTT